ACTTAGAACCTCTTGACATGTTGAAGTTAATGCTTCCTTGATGCCTTTCCAGTTGTCCTCCATAGTAGTTTCTTCTTCTTTCAGTAGATCTCGTAAGGCTTGGAACCTGTTGTTGAGAGCTATCTTGAATTCATTGAGTTTGACAGTATCTCGAAGGAAGGCTGTATTGAACCTTTGTATTGCTGTCTGTCCACTTGTCCAGTTCTTTTTTAGCTTCAGTTTCAAATTGGCTACAACTAGGTGGTGATCTGAAGCTACGTCAGCACCTCTCCTGGTTCTCACATCTTCCATTGTCCTGCGGAATTTTTTGTTGATGCAAATATGATCTATTTGGTTCTCTGTAGTGTGGTCCGGTGAGATCCATGTAGCCTTGTGTATACGCTCGTGTGGAAATATTGTGCCTCCTATGACCAAATTGTTGAATGCACATAGATTTGCAAATCTTTCTCCATTTTCGTTTCTTTCTCCCAGTCCATGTCGTCCCATGTTATCTTTCATATCCGGTGTTGTCTATCCCAACTTTGGCATATAGATCTCCCATCAGAATGGTGAGGTCCTTTCTTGGGCACTTATCTATGATTGATTGCAGCCGCTCGTAGAATTGATCTTTAATGTCGTCGTTGCTATCATTGGTGGGTGCATAACATTGGATAATATTCATTAAGATCCCCTCCTTCTTTGTTTTGAATGATGCTTTGATGATTCTGGATCCGTGAGATTCCCATCCTACAAATGCATTTCATGCTACTTTGGACAGCATAAGAGCGACTCCCTGAGTGTGTGGAGCATTGTCCTCTTCGTGACCGGAGTATAGCAGTATGTCTCCCGTAGCTAGCCTTTTCTGTCCAGCTTGGGTCCAGTGGGTTTCGCTGATTCCCAGTACTGCTAAGTTGTATCTCCTCATTTCCATTGGTATTTGACTGGTCTTCCCGGTTTCCCACATTGTTCGAACGTTCCATGTACCTATAAAAATTTTTGCTCTGGTTGTTAGAAGAGGCATCGGCCTCGTGGCTTCCGAAGGAACTCGGCTTTCACCATGAAGCGTCATAATTCTTCTAAATGAAGACCTTCTAACTCCCAGGGCAGAGTTAAAATGGTTTGGATTTTTTCCTGGTAAGCGTTTTTTTAGCGAGTTAGTTTTCTATCGGATGGGGACGCTAACCCCATGCCCAACCCTCCTCCTTTACCCGGGCTTGGGACCGGCAGCAACCCTATAAGAGCTACAGGTGGAGTTGTCGCTCGATTGTACCAAAGCAAAATCGACGTGACTAGGATTTACTTCTAAATACGCTGCTTTGATGTGGTCGATGGTAATGCTATCATTAGTTCTGTTCTTATCGACCATATAGTACTTGGGTTCGCGTTCAAGAACTTTGAACGGTCGTATGCTGATTCGAGAGGTCGTCGTGTGCACTGTATCGTAAGTCAGGTAGAACGAAATTATCAGTTTACTGCGGTCGAGTGGAAACTGGTTTAACTGAACGCATCGCGTTTGCAAGCCTACTCGTGTAAGGGGTTCGATCTATGATCCACGACTCTTCCTGGAGTTTGAAGTGTCGTTCCATAAATCAGTCGAACTACATTGTATCCAATGTTAGCTTTTACTGCATTGCGGATACTTAGTAAGACGAGTGGAAGAGCGTCGGTCCACTGTGGAACGCCTGCAGCTAAAAGTGAAGCTTTTAGTTCTCAGCGAAAGCGTTCTACCAACCCGTTTGCCTGTCTATGGTGTGCGGTCGTCCGGAATCATGCGAGTTTTTATAGTGTGGTCAGACAACGGGAAAGTCCAGATTCAAACTGGCACCCGCCATCTGCAGTGATGGTTGAAGGGCTGTCGAAGTTTGCTACCCATCGTTTGACGGAGGCGTGGGCCACAGTTTCAGTAGTAATGTCCTTGATGGGCACTGCTTCTGGTCATCGATTGAAACGGTCTATGCAGCATAAAAGATAAGATTATTCATTTTAATCCGGTGAAAGTCCTACCAAATCCAGATTAACTTGGTCAAAACGAGCATTAGGAGTTTTAAATGAACTTAGAGGACATTTGTTGTGTCCCATCACCTCAGATTTCTGGCAACTTACACAGAAACGTGCCCAATCCTTCACGTCTTTATTCGCACCAGGCCAGCAAATTCGTTCTTCTATGAGGTTGATAGTTGCACGAACACCTGGATGGGAAGGTTTGTGCAGCGAATTGAAAACGTTGCGTTGATGATGTTTCAGCACTATTGGACGATCCCTACACCCCTGTAAATGTGCCACATCATGAGGTTTCCTTACCTGTTCCCATCTGTTCAATGCTCAGTTTTAGGGTTGCTGAAGATAACTCGCACTGAAGACCAGTGCCTTCTTTTTGAAGCTGGTTGAGTTTAAGAAGATCGATTCCTTGACAACTGCTTAAGGAAGTCATATGAGACAAGGCGTCTGCGACTACATTTTTTGCTCCAGAAATGTGTTGTATATGTGAAGTAAACTGCTAGATGTAGTCCAGTTGTCAAGACTGTCAAGGTGAGTACTTGTCTGACGATGAGCTTAAATAGAAGTTAATAGGTTTATGATCAGTGAAAACAGTGAATTCTCGGCATTCGATAGAGTGTTGAAAGTTGCGTACAGCACAATACATAGATAGGAATTCCCTTCCGAAAGTGCTGTACTTCGACTCAGTGTCTAGCAGTCATCTCGAGGAGACTGCCAAAGGTTGCCAGGAGTGATTCACCCATTGTTGTAAGACTCCTCCCAATGCTGAGTTGGATGCGTCTACTGCTATACTAATTGGCATTTGAGTGTCTTGGTGTGCGAGAATGGTTGCCTTTGCGATAAGTTCCTTCATTGTAGAGAATGCTTTTCGCGTGGTATCGTCAAAATTGATAGATTTTGCATTTTCACGAAGTTGGTCAATTGGATGTTTCATAAGCGACGCACAGTTTGGTATGAACCATCTATAGAAACTTACAAGGTCGTTAAACGTGTATAATTGCTAAATGGTGGTCGGTTCTGGATAATCCATAATGGCAACCACTTTGCTTCTTAGAAGTCGGATGCCTCGCGCATCAATGGTGTGTCCTAAGGAATCTAAGGAGTCGGTCCCGATTTGGCATTTCTAAATGCTTACATTAATGCCATGCTTTTGCAGCCGTTTGAAAACAAGGTCCAGGTGCCTGAGATGGGATTTTCTTTCCGGACTTTCTATCAAGCACTAATCAACATACGCATGTCCGAAGTTGAGAACTCGAAAAACATCACATATGAACCTTTGGAATGTTTGGGCAGAATTACCAAGGCTGAAGGGCATGCGTGAAAATCCGTAGAGACTGAAAGGAGTAATGCTGGTGGTTTTAGGAATATTGTCAGCAGCCATGGGAATTCGGCTGTAAGCCTTAACGAAGTCGACTTTCAAAAAAGCAATCGTACCTTTCAAGGTAGTTGTCAAATCGTGAATGTGGGACAACAGGTAACGATCGAGAATGGTTTTCGCATTTAATCGCCGATAGTCACCAGCTGGACGCTAATCGTTGCTCTCCTTTTTAAGGCCCATGGTCAAGGGAGATGCCCATGGGCTGCGTAACGGTCGGATGATTACTAGCACTATCACGTGACGGTCGTTACAAAATTTAAGATAACGTGTAAATGGTATAAGTGACATAACTGTGTAGTATCATTCTGAGTCCTTTGAGGCTTTTCTTTGCTTGAAAAAACCTCGGCATTAGAAGATTTCGTGATTTCTAAGATGCGGTTGGCAGATGCAGCCAGCTCGTTCAAGGCATTGTTTTGAAACGAGACCAGCACAGCTTGCACCTATTCAGGAAGTTTAGATAAAATTCGTCTGAATAGGCCATCATCGAAGGTTCGTCGGCCTATAAGCTCTCTCATTCTTTGCAACATGTCTGTCGCTAAACCGTATTGCAGGTCGGTATTATCAAGGAGTTGCTCTAACCTTTGTCGATCGGTTAGATCTCCGCGTTCAAGGACAGATCTTTTACGTATTTCGTAGGGTTCCGAAGCATCACTGGTAATCATATCAGGTGTTATGTACCTGTTGAATTCGCGAGGTAATGTCTTTACTACTGCGTGGAATTATGCACGCCGTGCTCGTGGAAGTTAGCCTTTGTGTAGCAGAACCAGGCTTCTATGTTGTCTGGCCAGAAGGGCATCAGTTGAAACGAAGGTGGGGACATAGTACTTAACTTAAGTACCTTAGGTGTCTGTTCCGTCATTGTGAAATATCAAGTACAAGAATAAACAAAGAAAAGATATATATCCAAAAACACGGGAAAAATATATCACAATATATAAAAATTGAAATAAAGCAATGTCACACAAAATCCCAAAAACAAACAGACTCACAGTTTGTAAGTTGGTGTACCAGATGACGTCGGGCTCACCAATAAAGATATCATAGATATTTGAAGTTTGACAACGCTTTAACCAGTAATACCTCATACTATGAACCTTACCAAACAAGTGAAATCAAAAGACAGAAGTGAGGAGGTTCGAAGATATATTCGATAGGCTATCAATACATAGAGAATCGACTGATCTAGACTGAGTAGTGATTGCAGGAAATGTTGAGCTCGGCGTTCTCACTCGTGATTTGGTGCGGATGTATTTCCGAGAGCCTTTAGCTAGGCGAGTCTATTAAAATTAATGTGGTCAGCATCCAATGTCGAAGACTTACAGAGATATTGATTTTGGTGATTTATTTGTCGCTACACTTACAATCCATGCTGCGATTTTGAAAGCTACCAGAGTAGGAATACAGTGCAGTAAGTCACTTTTACTGACTGAACTATTCACTATTATGTAGGCACAAACAGTACTTCAGTTGTTTTATATTTTTTAGGTTTTGGTTGTGGAAAACTTATTAATATATATTTATTATGGGCAAATGGTGGAATTAAATTGCCTGTGAAGTGCACACAATCTGTGAAAGAGATACTTCTACTTAAAGTAATGACTCAGTGGTTGTTTTAATATGCTAACCTTTGATGACAGTCGATTTTGTTTTCTAGCGGACTTTTAATAATCAACGAAATGGTGATCGTACGTTATCCAGATTTTTTTAGCAACGTTTATCACGCATTGTTGCTTGTATCAATTAGTTTTGAATGGATGAATGTCATGTTTGATGTATACTGTTTATTTTTCTGGCCGAAATTAGGTGGGATATTAGTGCTGATAGGTAAATTAAAATGGAAGAATCGAGACTTGGTTTGCAATCCTTTTCACAGGTTTTTATTCCAATTACAATACCAAGACAATCAGTAAACAATCTTTGAACCCTCCAGTCGGGTTTTATGTACTGTCCTATTCGTATTTAACAATCTGTGTAACGTGCTTTTATTTTAGTATATATAGTTGTAGTATTCTGTTTTTGTGCTTAGATCGACCAATGAAGTGTTGGCCTGATATCATTTCAGTTGTTTTGTGAAGTAATTGAGGCGTATCTTCATGGTCTTTACTATGATGTTTGAACTCTTACTAGACTGTATAAGTGATAGAATATGTTCTATGGGTGCTCTTTCGTTAGCAATTTAGACGTCAAATGATCTGAAAAAAGTAAAGTTTGTGTGAAAATTTGTGTAACTTTATTTTGAACAGAAAAGTTTGGCTGGAGCGCATTACATCTTTCAAAAAAACTGAAAGCATCTAACTACAATCTAGTTTCATTTATGGCTTAGCGTAAACCGAACAACATTCACGTCGAGAAATTATGAGTTTTACAATCTTTTTCTGATTCCGTTTCATGGTTACTTTTTAGGATATCTTGTAGGTCCGTCTGACAAGCCAGAATGTCAAAAGATATAAAACCTACCTTTTATTCTTAAAAATGGTGTTTATCTTGTTATTTTAACTTCTTGTCGGTGTTTTTCATACGTGAAAGTAATACTTAATCAAACAATTGATTTCTTTTTCACAAGCAAGCAACAATAATATATATGAGTTAGCGTTGTCTGTAGATGAAAAAAATAGGAACCTTCAGATTGTTTTTGAAAAACTAGACGCTATGAATAGACTGTAACTCTAAGTGGCGAAATGCAAGAAGACATATGGTAGAAAAGCTTTAAATGTGAATAGTGAGGTCGAGCATGTAAGAGGTATTTCCAGATCAACACAAATACTGCACAAAAATAATGTCTAATTGTCCTTAAGTCGTCTCCTAAATAAACTTTAGAATGCCTTAAGAGTTTCGTCACTTTTTATGTCTAGTTTCCACGCGTTTTTATTTAGTCAGCATATACTTATCGGATTGATTAGGTAGTGAAATGGTCCTAACTAATCCGTTTTCCACATCCATATGTAAAAGAAGTTAAGCAAGTCAAGCATCCTATAAAAATACGGGCCATTTTCGAAGAGTATAAACTTACGTCTCTAATTAATCTGAATCTTGAAAAGTCAGCTGGACCAAAATGTTCTTGAACAATCACAGTTTAATACAAGCCTTCTGGTTTAAATAATTAGGTAGCTATTTAACAAGTCCTTGAATCTATGTGACTAATTGAAAGAAGCATCTCTTTAATGGAGTTACAGCCTTTTGGCATTTTAGTTATAATATATAGCATAAAGAGTTGTGAAACACTTATTACATTACAGCTTAATTTTGATAACCTATAGTCAGAAAAATAATAAACCCGGTAATAGGATTTAACTGTATTATATAAACGTTTATTGAACGGCTAAGTGTTGTGGCAATTTTGTACTGTCGCAGTAGCATTTATTCAAATGCACATATGGTAACAGACAAATATGTAGGTAGTATGCAAAGCAAAAACCTGATTTATTTATATTTCATAAATCTATCTTTCTGGGGTTTCATTTCCACACTCAGATGATTTTCGTAACTTACCTTCTTGAAAGAAAATGCAAACCCTAATTTCACTAAACCTCATGTATGGTTCGCAACATAGCACATAAACATTCTTGTCTTGTGTTTCCAATTTCAATAGTTTTGACCTAAATGTATCTATAATTGTATGCTTACTAGCTTCTTACCTACAGAAGCAAAATAAGTGAAAAAACAGCTCATATTTTCAAAATACGTTTGAGGATTATTTTATTGGTACTCTCTGATGGATTTCAAGTGCATTGGTTTCTCAGTTCAATACCGAATGGCATTCACAGGGTGCACTTTCTTGCTATTTTGGCTGTTTATTGTTGATCAAATATGACGGTTCACTTTTATGTAGTGGAAAAAATTAGCGTCTAGAACTTATACTTCAACAATAGGGTTTATCGCCTTTTCGTCAATGAACTTACGTTTCACATTCCTTAAAGTCTAATCTATTGGTAATGAAGATGAGCTGTAAAGCTTTTCGTGTCTCTAAAAGCAACATGCCGAATTGAAGTGACTCTAGAGAAATTTCTTCTCACTTTTGATAGCGTGGACAGAACAACACTATGGAAGCTTCTTCGACACTACGGCGTGTCTGAGATATTTAATATCATACAGAATCCCTATGATGGATTAAACTGAAAAATCGTGCATGGAGGACAGCTGACAGACTCGTTCGAAGTAAAGACCGGTGTCAGGCAAGGTTGCTTACTCTCACCCTTTCTCTTTCTCCTGGTGATCCACTGGATCATGAAGACGTCAACATCTGAAGGGAAGCACGGGATACAATGGACATCTAGGATGCAGTTGGACGATCTAGACTTCGCAGATGATCTGGTCCTTCTATCCCAAACGCAAAAACAAATGCAGGAGAAAACGACCAGTGTAGCAGCAGCCTCAGCAGCAGTAGGTCTCAATATACACAAATGGAAAAGCAAGATTCTCCGATACAACACAGAATGCACCAATTCAATCACAATTGACGGAGAAGATTTGGAAGATGTAAAAACCTTTACATATTTGGGCAGCATCATTGATGAACAGGGTGGATCTGATGCAAATGTGAAAGCGCGGATCGGCAAAGCAAGAGCAGCATATTTACAACTGAGGAACATCTGGAACTCGAAGCAACTGTCAACCAACACCAAGGTCAGGATTTTCAATACAAATGTCAAGACAGTTCTACTGTATGGGGCAGAAACCTAGAGAACTACAAAAGCCATCATCCAGAAGATACAAGTGTTTATTAAAAGTTGTCTACGCAAAATACTTCGGATCCGTTGACCGGACACTATTAGTAACAACCTGCTATTGGAGAGAACAAAGCAGATCCCGGCGGAGGACGAAGTCAGGAAGAAGCGTTGGAAGTGGATAGGACACACATTGAGGAAAGCACCCAACTGCGTCATAAGACAAGTCCTCACATGAAATCCTCAAGGCCAAAGGGAAAGAGGAAGACCAAAGAACACATTACGCCGAGAAATGGAGATAGACATCAGAAAAATGAACAAGAATTGGATAGAACTGGAAAGGAAGGCCCAAGACAGAGTGGGTTGAAGAATGCTGGTGGGCGGCCTATGCTCCATTTGGGAGTAACAGGAGTAAGTAAGTAAGTAATGTATAATCAGATGCGACGTTTTACAATACGGAACATGTATATTGAGTCTTAATGGCTTTGTAAATCGACGTCACAAGTGGAAGTATTATTATATATTCAACACTTTAGCCATCACACGTGAGTATTAGATATCACTAGCTATATTTGTCTTTTTTATTGAGTAGATTGTTGGTTATACAAACATCAATATATTCAATGTTACTTTTGGTAAGTAATATGGCCGGTATATTTTGTGATCTTTTATTTATGTTTTTTCTGAAACATTTTTCATACCATCTATCTGTTTTTCCTTATATACTCATAGATGTGATAAACTTTAACTATTTTCACCAACTGTACTATAAAGAAAAATGATCTGTGATGTTATGCCAACAATTAACGAAGATATTGGATCTCAGGTAAACTTGAAATCATTTGTATATACAAATCCATTGTCTATCTATTTGTTTAGTTACTTATTTATTTGTCACATGACCTAATAGTTGACATGATATTTGAACTTGAATTATTCATAATCAGGCTATCCCCTGATGAGTATTGAAATACTTAGAAAACTAACTTATTTAATTTTAAGAAAATCATGCAAATCTTTTATTAGACTGTACATGTAATATGTATACGAAAGGTTTGAAAAAAATAAGAAACTGAGTATTCAAAAGTGCGTAAATTTTTCAGTGACAGTAATTTTTTCCGACCCGTGGATAAGCTGATAGAGTTATATTGACGTAGAAACTAAAAGTGACTACAAAAGTCCCTACGAATAAGTATGGTTTGGTCTTTGATATTTGAAACCCATAAGCAGAAATATATATTAGTCATTAACAAGGAGCATTTGTAGTATCAACGAAAATGGCCTTGATAACATACTTCAACTAATATTGTAGCTAAGCTACTAGGTACTCAAGTGAATTTTAAAAAGATTAGACTCAATAACTCAGAGGATCTGCTAAGAGTTTTCTGTCCTGTTTTTAATAATCACTTTTGATTAACACCATACAGATTTCTAGTTCCATAGCTTGGTTAATAAAACTACAAAAACTATTTAATAAAGTGTAGCTAACATAAATAAATAAACAATATGATATTAGTTATTTATCACTAATTGACTAATATTGTGGCATGTGCTACTTATATCGATATAAGTAGTATACAACGCCAGTCAGGAATAGAATGTCTGACAGCAGGTCAAGAAGATCGAGGAGGAAAGAACAGGAACGGAAAGCAATTGGTATGGAAATAAAGAAACTTTGAAGTCTGAGACGATTGACTGATATTTACTAAAGGAACGGTCATGTTTGAGACCAGTGATTGACGTTTTGCAAATTAAGTGTTCACTGTATGGTTCTCAGATTTTAGTAAGATGTTCTGTAATTTTGTGTTTACAAGCACCCGATTGCCCCCTCTTGTGTTCTCGTTCAGTACAGTATAAAACGTGGTTTTAAAGAAAAGCTGTTATTCAGTTCCTCTTAACAGAAATTTGGTCCAAGCATTTCATTTTATCTATTTATCTAGTAAATAAAACTGTCAAATTATATATAACAATATAATGTATGAGGGTACATATTGTGGAGAACACGACCATAATATGTTGAACTTATACAAAGACCCGTGATTACTATACGTAATGATCATTTTCCTTTCATATTCAGCTGTTTCCATAAGTTTGTGGAAAAATTGTATCCAAATGACGCTGTTAAACGAGACAACCTATTGAAAAACAGGAAAGTAGGAAGAGATACATCAATAACGGTTGTAAAAGTATGTGCTACGGTATACAGAATACAGAATTTATAAAAGTTTGGGAACTTAGTACGAGTGATCATAAAAATATTAATTTTGCTGAATAGAAAGATTGGTGTTTTCCAATCTTTTGGCTCGTCACAGGATGGATTGTTGTAGGTATTCAATTGAGACACAAAAATGCCCAAACTTTATAGATATTTTAGAGAAATTAAAGCTTTTTTATCGGGAGTTGAAAGTTATGAAATTAGTCTTGTCTTAGTAGCGTAAATCTAAAAATACTTCGTCTAACAACATTCTCCGTTTGAAATTATTAGTCCCTATGATAAACTTGGTAGTGTATTAAGACGACAAAGATTACCAGAACTATGTGCTAATGCATCAGATAGTGCTGATACTTTTTGTCTTCTTATTACACTATCAAAATTCTCTATTTAAATAGGTCCAAATTATTCCTTTACGTAGTTTTATCTAATCCTGATTTTCATCGGGATACAACTTAAATTTTCACATAATACATGACTGTTGAAAATGACTAACAGTTTGTTTTCAAAATCCGGTCAGCAAATAAATTTAGCATTATGTCTTTCAATTTATCAGAGCTAAATAAAAATGAGATAAAGTCGAGAACTGGACTTTTGCTGAAATATGAAATTACTTAAACAGAAATGTTTACCAAAGAATGGAGCATTACCACTGTTATCATTATCTAAAATGATTATTTTAACATGTTTACAGGGTGATCGAGATTCACTGGTTAGTGCAGATGGTACGAATGTTGAAGATATGTTACTTAGCATGTTGGATGAACGTGACAGATTGATGGAAGGATTGCGTGAATCACAGGAACAAGTAAACGAAACAAGAACTCGATTGAACGAAGTTGAAAGAGAACGTGATAAACTTCATGCACAGTTGTCAGCTAAAATGCCTCAAGTATGTTCATTACAACAGTAGATTATGGTTGGCTTTCATTTATACTGAACTAAGGACGGTTACAGACGTTCGTTTAAATGTCTTTACTACTAACTTTTTATAAGGATAAAATCAGTCAGTAAAATCCTTTTAGCTAATAATATGGATGTGTTTAAACAACAATTACAAGAAAAGTTAACAGCTAAACATTGTTTTGTAAAAAATAAATTATAACTTTGGAAAGTCAGACAAATAAAACAGTAGACGAATTATACTGAACTCTTTCAGTCAAAATGTCAGTTTTAATTATTTATGTTTATCAAATCGTTTACTTCGGAATTCTCACCATTAACAAAAAAAGCAATTAGAAGAACAATTATTTAAATGTCAGTCAAAATTTCATAACTATTGTGTTGTATGTAATCTGTAGTCAGAATTCATGGGCATAGTGACTTAAATAATAGGACATAACACCATTTATTAGGTTTTTCTGATTACTTAGTATTATATTATTGGTCCAGGACTAGCAAACTGAAATGCTTATTAGTAAAATATAACTTCAGTGTTATTGAACTTTTGTTACCCTGAAAATTTGAACTAGGTCCATCAAAAATCATAAAGATGAACCTAAGCATTGAACTATTTGGAAACATCTATATAATTTGATCATGACTTTAGAAAGAAACAATATTTAAGAAGTAATCACGTATTATTGCTTCGTTGATTTGTTTGTGCTTGTATTACAGATTGATAAGACTTTCATCTTGTTCAGTGACGAGAAACATACTGATAAATCAGTCAAAGCCAGCTATTTTAGATTTATTTTTAAGTGATACTGACCCTTTCAAATGCCGCGCTCATGTCAACACCGATCCATATTGTCAGTAACAGAGCTTTTCTTGTAATTAACAGGATTGGATTAGAACAACGCCAAAATATTATTATGGAACAAGTGAAAGTGACCTTAATCCCACCCAAAGTACACACTTGGATAGTGTAAAACTAGGAAAATCTTAAGTCTGAGTCCCACAGATATTCATATCTTAATGACTTTAGTGGTTCTACTATTTATATCGACTAGATCATAAAGAGAGGTTGAATTGAATTGAATTCCCTAAATGAATGCCATTAAAGAATGCTTATGAAATAAAATGACAACATTAATTAATAGATAAGATTGCCCTCTGTGAATACGTTTGGGTTACCCTTTTTTATATATTGTTCATAAATTTTAAAGTTTCTTTTCTAGTTTGCTTAATTCAAGAAATATATAAAGATAAGTGAACTAAAATTCCAATCTAAATTAATTACAAGCAGATGATATTCATCTGAGAGTTTCTAGATTAGGTCCTACCTAATCTTAATGAAAACGAATGAAATGCAGTTTAGCTTTACTGGTTGTTTATATATATATATATATATATATTAATTATCTGGTAACATTATTATATCTCTTGCTTGTTAACTGCTTAACATGTAACTGTCAAACCGAAAACTCCGATTAACATTTTTAAACATTCATAAAGGGACGTTTATAGTCTGAGGAAGTTTAGTCTCTATTTCTTCACATGAGTGAAATAGGGCTATCCTAAGTAGAGTATATGTATAAGATGTATTCATATAGTTATAGTCATCGCTGGAATGACTTCTTTACGTTAGAATTATCTATTGATCCGTGTTATCGTAGATCAAAAAGTATTAGGTAAGAGGTTGTATTTCAGTTAATGAAGATATGAAATTGACTGAGGTGGATGGAACAAATTTTGCACATGACTCAACATCTTCCACACTGAAGGACTATATTCATTGGGGCAGAGGTGACTTAGTTTAGAAATATCGTCAATTAGTAAAGTTACTGATTGTTGATATAAACAGTACAGAGGTACAAACTTCTTATTTGATGCTCTTAAAGTAATGTTAATTTTGTAGTTAAACAGTTAATTATATATGATCAGGAATCAATAACTTTGAAGATGTATTCATGTTTTCTGAGTTTTTCATTTCATCATATTTATTTTGAAATAACATATTATGGAGTTCGTTTACCGCTGAAGCACTTAAAATTATCTCTAGTTTCTTTCTCACTTGAAATATTGTCTAGTAATTATAAGATGGATACATGTTTGTGCTAAGCTCTATGTTACTGATGTTGATCCTTTTGCCATCACACGTCCAAGAATATATGTAATATAATATAATATAATATAATATAACATTATATTATATTATATATATATAATATAATATAATAATATACTATAATATAATATGTAATATAATATAATATAATCAGATTCATTTTGAACTGGAAAAAACATAGCTTATTGTGTAAATGATATTAGATGAAATGCTATACAGCAAACTTTAAATGAAATTCATCAGAAAGATTATTTTTCTCGGTTATTTGTAGGTTATATTTTTGTTAAATAATATGAAGGGCATTCTACAATTGTATCATAATTTAAATAAATTGTTTAGCTGAACAAATTAAAACCATAAATAAATTAAAGCCATATAGAACTCACAAAATCACAGATGGATAGATTTTTTTCAGGAAAAGAAACTATCCACGAAAGTTGATGGTTATGAAAGTGAGTCGTATCTGACACAATTTTATTTTTTTCAACATAATATATATATATATATATATTTATAGTGTTAAGACAAGAAATGTTTTAAAACATGTTAGAATCATGAATTTCGATAATTTGTAATTAGTTTTACTATGGACTAGCGCCTATTGAAAAGAAAAACCGTTAAAAACAAACGATATATGATACTCTGGTTAAAACCTTCTCAACAATCAAACTAATAATCATAATTCTACTGATTGTCATATGGAGATAATATCGACATAAACATGTAAAAAAAGGAAAGAATTTCCAATTTTATTATACCATTAATTATGAATATTTATTATTGTTATTATGATCATCCTATCAAAAAACGGCACTTAATATTTTATCATTTATTTCTTTGAAATATGATATGAATTGAATCATTTTAATCTATAAAGAAATAATTATTTACTATGTATTATACTTAAACATATGGTATAAATTCAGTTGAATTTGAATTAAAGATAAGTGAACATTTATCTGAGCTATTTGCATTAAAAAAAGTAATTGTTTCTCCTAGTTAGATTGTCACTAAATAGTAAACAGATGAATGTAACAGATAAATGTAATTTTTGAGAACATACAAAGTACATGTTTAATCATTCTTTTTCTTATATCTTACGCGGCATTTAATATATACTCAAAGTAAAGATATTTGTGATCAAATATCTTTAAAGTGATTTTATAGGAAACAATTCTTCTTTAAAAATATTTCATGAAATATAGTAACTAATCAGCATGAAAAATAAGATCTTTTTCAATCACTTTTATTTTAATGCTTTTTAACATCATTAGATATAGATTGATTACATATATTTGCTTGGAAAAAGTCCAAATGTTCAGTAAATGATGTCTACTGTGTTAAGTTATTGGTGGTTATTTTCAGCGCTATTAACCTAGGTTTTGTGCTGGTTGGTATTCTTTCAATAGGGAATATGCGTAGTTCCGAGGGCAGAAATGCTTCCCGTAGGATTCAAACCTTAGTCACTCAAGATAACAATCAAAGAACTAACAAGAAAGTTATTTAGGGTGAATAATCTTTTCAGTGGATATTTTGTTAAAACTGTACAATTGCATATATACTCTTTCTTTATATATTAGTTTTAACAGTTTATCTTGTCATGTTGCCCAAACCTTTTTAATGGTTATTACTCTTGACATAAAGTTTAAGATATTCTTGATGAATATGCAAGATTTTAAAGACAATATTTTAAGTCTCTTGGTGAGAATGACTTTTTTCCGTGGTTTCGTAGCAATACTCAGTAAACTGTTATCCTTAACAAACTCATAAGTATTTGTTTTTGAAAAAATTATATATCTGTGACTATACTGTTGAATATAAGGAAAAGTTAACCGACTTGGTATTTGCTACTGAACATCATAAATCGTATGACCCATGTAAGAACACGAAAATGATGAACATGAATTTTTTTTATCACCAAAATAATTTAAAATGAATTTTGGATTCACTACTTTTTACATGATTTATTTACACTCAAATTAACATTCAAATTTATATAACTGAAATTGTGCAATACCTAAAATCATTTGATAAATAAGTTACAAAATAATCATAGATGTGTAATTTAATAAAATTAACGGTTTATCGTAGATATAACAAATATGATTACTTTTTAATATGGGTTTACATGTTATAGACTATTGAATAAATTAATTATTATCGTATGTTACTCATACTACAATCAGTTAAGTCCTTGCTCACCATATCTTCTTTAGTTTTGAGAATGAATCTGTAGAAAAGAGTACACTGTGTTCCACCGATCTTTCTTGCATTATTGATTTGAAGTAACATTTTCTATTGTTTTCCAAAAACACTGCAACTCATACTTAATTTTCAATTAATTGATCTTATAATGAAATTGTCTGTCTTAGTAAAAACTATTTAACATGAAATAACTTAGTATATCTTCTAATTTTGATTAGGTTGATTTATTTTAATTTATTAATGCTCTGTTAAACCATGTAACAACATTAATAAATTTATAAATCCTAAAAAGTTTCATATTGTTTCGATGTATTTTTTGAGTTAAGAACAGTAATGTAAATATTGTATCAATAAAGTGTACGTAAAACTAACATTTTGGTTAAGAATATCAACACTGTATAATTATAATTAACAAGGATATAAGAAGCCAATATAATACTATTCCACAATGTTCAATTTTATTCCAGTTTCCAAGGGCTTCAGAGTGATAGAACTGAAAATTAATACATTTCTTTTTAACTAATAGTGTTTTGTGTAACAAGGCTGATAAATTACATAACTGTATAACGTTTCGCCATTATAGTTTTCAATATGACCTGGAAACATTCAATTGTTCAAATATCAATGCTCTGTGTCAAACTGTGATGATAGATATTTAATTTTAAATGAAACGCTAATAAATGAAACTGTATAAAATTTTGAGATTACGGTTATGTACTTATACCATCTAATTCTGATCAAAATATAAATATTTTTCATTTATTAGCCGTAATTAAAAAGTGTATACAATGTTTATGCATAATTTAACTGCAATATAAAACATTTGACAGATATTACTGCTATCAAAGTTTCATCTATTAAAACGTCAGGAGATTTTAGTTAAAGCATTAAACTATGTTGAAAACGGTGTTCTATAGTAAACATTGAATGTTTTAATAAATACATTTTGTTGATCTATTAACTAATCTAATTAGGAAGTAATGAACTTGGGAATTCTATGCGAGAAATGAATAGTTCTCTAAGTATGATGTTCTGAAACGTTTGTTAGAGTGGTTGATTAAGTTAGCGAAAAGAATTCAAACATAATGAGATGTGAAGCTTATTGAATACTCAGTTAGCTGGTTGCCTTAAACACTGATTTATGGCAAGTGTGTCTGAAATAAAGGCCTTTAGGTATTCAGTGATTGCAACGTATGTTAAATTTAATTGGTGATTAGACTATTTTATATTAAATTCACGAGTTAAAAGGTGTCGAGTCCCCTATCAATGAATTAAGTGTCAGATGACTGATCTTGAGATTCGGTTGTGCAAATCAGTTTGAAAATCGAGTATTCGATCGTTTTAATTCCGTAACTTTATAGTATTAAACTAGTTTTAACCGATAAGGTTAGTCATTGTAATAATAACTTTTCTATAAATACTTCTAGCCATCAATTGAGATCAACTAGAAGACAAGTGGGAGTCATGAACCATTTAATTATCGTTTTGTTCTAGTATAGTCAAAACAGGAACCGAAACCAGGAAATCTGGATCTGGTGTTACATTCAAACTATTGGATTTGAATCTAGTAGTTCACATTTCCAGCTTTAATCAGTTTTCAAAACAGTAAAATTATCCAATTCATTAATGAATGAGTCTCAGAGTCATCATGAATGAAATTCAGCAGTAATAACCCAATGCAACTTTGGAATGCCGGTCAGTAGTGAGCACATGATTCATTATTGAGATAACAGTGTAGATTAGGCTACTTTGATGACATTATACATCACAAACAGACCTTAACATGTTTTCTTAATCTACGTCTAAGGAAAAATGTTTCTAAATTGTTAGGAAGTAAAACTATTTAAACCATATACTCGCAAATATTTAGTGATAGACTTGCATTAAATTGAAATTAACAATAACTGGTTAAATTTTCTGTTTTCATTTTAAGATTAATTACTTATTAGTAATATGAATGCTTTTAAAAATGTTTATTTTTATTTCTGCACAACTAATTTGTTAAATTCATGATATATATAATCGAAATTATTATAATTATGTCTGGATAGAAAAGTAATGTTATTCTTTAAAATAATTTTCTTTTCTTGTTTTTCTATTAAAATTACCTTTTGGTTATTTCATTTAGGATATTGTGGAAATGTCAAAAAAACTAACAGAAGTTGAAGAGCAATTAATTGAAAGATGTGATGAAATCGATGATTTGAAAGCTGAACGAAACAATATGAAAGTAAGTCTAGCTTATATTAAAGCATAAATTCAACTATTAAAATTATGACAATCTTCCTAAAATTGCCATTCTGATAAATTGAGTACTTGAAAAGAATTTTTTTTCTTGTTGAATTTTATTTTAGTAATTAAAATTATATTTACTGTAATAGTTTTATTCATAAGTTTATGTTAATCAAATTGTATTTTTTTACGACAAAAATTGAAGATGGTTTCAATGCTAGAAATAATAAGGTATTCTGTATTATTTAATTCATTTAAAGTAGAGAAGTAAATTGACTGATTTCAAAATGTAATTGTCTACAATCAAAGATAACAAGTTTATGTTGTAATAAATTTGCCATATATTCATATTCAAACTAAGATACATTACTAAATAATGTTAACCGTAAATGAGGGATAAAATGGAGATATAATCTCAGAATTTCGTTATATGTCAGATTAATAACATGTTTCAGTGCTTAAATTGTAAACATAATCAAACCGTAGCCACTAACATCTGAAGATCGGAATACACCCATTAAACATATTTTTTTAATAATAATAAATCTTCTGACTTATTAGTTTTTAAGAGTTGTGTTACTGAATACTTTAGAAATTTGATCTACAGTATGGCTCATAGCTGCGATTGTCAAATTATTGACTTCTAAATGAAAAACTGTGATTGTGAGTGATTCCAGTTGACAATGATATAAATAAACGTTTCTATTGTATCAAAATTACAAAAGCAAATTTCATTGAAAGTTCTTAAACTCATTTGAAAGTTGTAAAGTATCGCATAAATCATAAGCTGTCTGCCAAATAAATCGATTAAAGTAAAAAATCAGAATATTTAACTGTCATTGTTATGAAATTTTATAAAGACACTACTGAATAATGGCATTAGAAGCACCCTCCTTTTAGACCACAAGTAGTTCAAAAACAACTTTTAAATAAGATCCTATAACGTTTTATTTGATTGTTCATATCAAGAATATGAAATCATTCATTAAAAATATTTATTTGAAGTCGAATAATTATCTGGACCTGAGTTCTTAGTTTCCTTCAAATTTTTTTTATTTCGGTGGTTATAACTAACTCATAAATACCGATTACGTTCAGAACTATACAATAAGTAGGAATTATGATAAGCTAATCAAGATAATTTTTAATTTGGTTTGTTAGTCGAGAGGTAATTCCTGGGGTTCTGGTAAAAGGACTGGGTCAGTTAAAATCAACCTTGTTGTGTGAAGCAGTTACTCATCATCTACATCAGGAGATGGCTACTCAGTTAACTGATGTTGTAAATGTAAACCATTGAATGTCATCTTAGTGATATAAAGGCTATATTCTGGAATGTCTGATGATTCTTATTCGATCTTGGGTGCTTCATAGATGCATAATGCTAAGAAGTCAATACTAAGGAAAAGTAGCTTTCCACCTCTATTCAGTTCGTGATATGAATGATTTAATTTAACACTCTCCCATAAGCCTTTTGCATTAATAATCTTCGTTCGATTTCGTTAGAAATTTTGTGACGTTCCAGTGGAAACCAAAAATAATCGATTAACTGCTTTTTTCTCAATATTAGATATTTTATCAGTACCCACTGATGAACGTTGCATGTGTTGAACTCACAAAAATCATATAATCCAACATAATATCGATACCTAGTGGATGCATAAGTGTACATTACTTAAGGAAACTCAATTATTTAACGCTATAAGGATTTTTAACAATCAGTCAGTAATGTAAGGCATTTCATTTAGAGTTAGTTTAACAATTACCTAACTGTTAAGATTTCAAAATAACGTTTATATTCAACAGCTTAATTTATAAAACTACACTAATCCATCTTCTAGACTCTTTTGACAACCATTTTTATAAGCTTCACAACATTGCATATGTTAGTAGTGTAAACGTATGCTTTAATTCACTTGATATCGTTATGCTTGTATTTTCCGATTGAGGTTTAAGACTGCAAATGTACAGTCTATTATTGGGATATGTGCATACTGTGCGTATACCTCGATATTGCCTTAATTCACAAGCTTTAATAAGCAAAGATGGATAGTGGCTAGCAGTGGAATCCAGAATGCGCGTTTCATCCTATTTGGGACTCGTCAGCGCGCGTCCTAAATTCTACTGCTAGCCACTACCCATCTTTGTATGTTTTAATTGATATGAATTTCAAACATCTTGATAAAGTGAAACACAACCCAAAGTAAAAATATCTCTTGAACAATTTTTAGCTTCTATTAATGTTTTTCTTGATTTTATTTAGTTTTGAAGAATAAAATTTAAGACATTTATTACAATAAAGGAAAAAAACAAACAAACAAATTGAATATTGAGCATTTATCGAACTAAAAAAAAGTAGAATAATAAAAATATTCTTTTATGATTTTAATATCATTGATAAACACAAAACATCCCAATCTTGTATTTTTAGTCTAACACCTTTATGTTTATGGTTTTTAAAATTGAAATTAAACAGATCTGGATAAGTATAACATTGTAAACATTTAATCTCTTTTACTTAGCGAATAAATGTGTTTAATGTAACTTATATAATTTATATATTATTATTATTAATTTCATGGCACAGAAACGTTTTGCGGCATAAACAAAAATAAGTTTTAAACATCAAAATGAAAAGAAAATGTTCTCCTTTGGAAAGTTTTGTTTGATTAAAATAAAGTCAAGTATATTTATTTATAGGCTAAATGCTTATACCATAGCTTTTTCACTGAATTTTTTTCGAAATAAAAATAAAAGACGATTTATATTCTTCAAGTACTTTTTCATTGTTTTAGGTAGATCAGTCAAAGTTATAAATGCATTTCCTAAATAGTAGAATTATATTTAAACTAAAGATATTACTGTATAGTAAGCAGACTGTATTACAATATATATGAATCGTTGACTTTTATTCTAACATTCATACTTATTATGTGCGTTAAATATTTTCAATTCGATTTAATAATTAGCCGTCAATATGATTCGTTAATGTGGTCTGGAACAACGCCATATTTTTCTACTATTCTCAAGCTTCTTATTGAGAGGCTGAAGGTACTGGGTTTGAGTCCCATATGCGGGATCGTGGACGCGCACTGCTGAGGACTCCCATATTAGGACGAAACAGGAATCCAGTGCTCCCAGGTTTTCAATTGTGGTCTAACATTGATCCGTTGATTGTACCAATCTAAACTCAGCAATCTCCACAGACGTATTCTGATAATTTCATTAAATTACTGTAGTGGTGGATTAATTAATTTGTATGTTAATTTACTTTACATAATGATTATCAGGTAAACCGAATATCTGTACTGAGAATATGTTGTTCATGAATTTTGTACTGTTAGTAAAGGCTACTTAAAGTCTATTCAGAGGTGATATCAATTGCTTCAGGTATCTATTGAGTAAACCTATGTATTAGTCAAAATTCAGAAACCAAGTGTTTACAGATGGTCGGAAAAATGAAGCTTGCTATCTGTTTTCACTAACATTATGGAATAAATATCTCATATGCTTGATGTTTTAGTGTTATTAAACGATGTTATAACAATTTAAATGGAGTTATCAAACCCTCTAATTGAGATTTAGAAACCCCAACAATGTATTTATTATGTTGAAATGATAATAGTGATTTTTTACATAGGTCAAATTAAGGCAATGTATTAATAAATTTGACAATGTTACATTTAAAAAATGGTGAATGTTTACATCTGTTATCACATATATTCTTCAAAATTGTGTTATTTGCAAATTAAAAAGATCATTTAATAAAGGTCATATTGGTTTGGAGTAAAGTGTCCAGTCACAATCCTTATCACAGTAATATAGCAAAACTGAAAATGCAAAAACTCGTTTAAAGAAAATACATGGGGGAATTTCATCTTGTCAATTGAGATAATAATGATAATAGAGATAGTAAAAATAATATTTTTGTGTTCTTACCATACGTAATATGAGGGGTGTTATCAATATAATTACGATAAAAATATGGGAAGAGAGTAAGAGGTTTATAATACTCAGTTTAGTTATTCGGTGATCCAGTCGTAGGCCAAGGTAAACATAGAGGCTAGATATACATTCCCTGGATATATAAGTTAGATTTTCTGGAGTTGATCCAGATGGCTTCGACTATGTAGAGTAACCGCAATCCAGCTCTTTCAGGTAGATTTTCTGGAAATTAATATAAAACGGAGAAAGCTTCCTCTATTTTGATATGATAATCACTATCTACTAAGTGAGGATGAATAGTGCTGTTGATCGATTTAGTAACTTCTTTTCCAAACCATCATGATACATTATCACGAACAGATGCAAACGTTCACCATTTTTATCATATAACATTGTCAAATTTATTATAATTCATTGCTTTAATTTAGCCTATGTAAAATATTACAATAATTACGGACGTATAACCGTAGAGCCTGATGATGAAATTACTGAAAACAACTGTTTGCTCAAATATTCTTCATTTTTGAGTCTTCTTTTGGGTTTTTTAAACTGTCGAAATACTTCTCTAACAAAGAGAAATGAATTTAAATTATATTGACTCAATAAATGAAAAGTATTATAAATTATTTTATGCTTAATAGATATTTTAACATTAGTACAATACTGTGAAGGACATAAACAATGTGATATTCCGGCTCAGTGGTCCAGTTGGTTAAGCATTCGCGCGCGAGACCGAAAGCCCTGGGTTCGAATCCCGCGAGCGGGATCGTGGATGCGCACTGCTGAGCAGTCCAACAATAGGACGAAACGGCCGTCCAGTGCTTCCAGGTTTCCAAAGGTGGTCTAACATCAATCGGCTCATGATTTCAATCAGAAACTTAATAATTTCCACAACCCCTTTACTAGTAATGTGATATGCCTTTTGACTTAATAAAGCTATTTCATTGATAAATAACCACAAGTAGCTATAAATATTTAATGGATAAAATAAATTATTCTGAATTTTAAACTTGCCAAATATAGCACAAAATAAAAAAACAGTCATAAAATATGAAGTTTATTAAATATATAAAGCTATCTAACCTCACTGTTTGTATAAATGAAAACAATCGAGAATCTTGTAAATAAAATGTTATAAAAAATAAAACCAAAACTTCACTAAGTATTTAATTTAGTGAATAGTATTTGAGCTGACTACTACACATGGAAAACTGTCTACTGATATCTATCATAAACAAAAATAGTAAATTTTACACTAATGAAATAAGTCAAGTATGTCAAAAATTAATTATGTAAAGTTAATTGATTCTTAGATCATTTATTTTTGCATCATGTTAAAAATAGTTGTGATCATCTGGGTAGATGTAAATTTTCACTTCATTGTAAGAAGAGGTACATGATAGTAAAGCAAATATACATTTAAATGTTATCCAAACAAAAAAATTATTTCAGATTTATCCCGGCCAAGTCAGGGGACAAAAAGAGGATGTTTTTGCAGGATGATTAATAATAGCCCCATGGGAGTATATCATGATCTGTAATTCTGACACATTCCAAAAACGAGTCAAACAGATTTTTCTTGTTTCATGTGAAATTTATTCGCAAGTAAAATCTAATAAACCTCCAGTCTTATCAATTGGCAAAAGTTTATATATCTTTTTTTAGTAAATTGCCTTATTTTTGTGTACTTTTAAAGAAATTGTTACTCGTATTTGAATATATTTTTTCTGTATCGTCATAGAAATCCAAACAGATAAATTTTTTTGGTCATCGATTTATCAACATTTTTTTTCTTGAAGAGGTAAACTCTTTTAGTAACTGTTTATAGTCAGTATCCCAACATTCAACGAATCTTTCTAAATTATCATTTTTAACCACTATGTGAATTTTATTAGATAAAATAAAGTATATGGTAGGTATACTTGCATTCATTGTTGTTATTGTTAAGCTTAACACTATGAATGTAAAACTAAATCTTCAAAAAGAGATGTTTTAATATGAAGCTGATCAAAATCTTTCCTTCAGAAAAGTTTACTCCCTTTTTCGGAATAGTGTTACACAACAAAGAAATATTTAAATACCCTTCTCGAATTAACCACATTCAAACTTACGTGTTCCGTTGATACGTCTACCGTAAAAAACAGTAAAATAGTCAGTTTCAGTGAGTTTGTAAACTTTTAAGAGTTACTGCATTCATCAGTAGGATCTCTCAGCATCTGATCGATACAGAACGCTTAGCAGATGCTTTGGAACCCAAAATTATAATAATAATACCTAAAACCTCTATAATCTTCTGGTCATATTTTTGCAATAAAGGTGAAGCTAACATTCTACTCATTTGTGCGTCAGTAAATGTAAAGAGGCGATAGAATACACTAGCGACATCAAAATCCTCAACAAATTAGCAAAACTATGTTCTTCAGAACTAATGTAGTCTTATCTCAACAGAGTTAAAACAAACAACTTTCACAACCAGTATCGGACACCTTTATTTTAAGCCACTGTGTCGAAACCTAATAGTCTTTATTTATTACTTTAGTGAGTTTATGAGTTCAAGCGATAACCGCTCTTTAAGATTGGCAGTGCCTATATCAAGCCCGAATTACCTAAACTCGTTGCTCACAATGCGAGGTTGCAGATGTGTATGTGTCTTACAAAGACCAAACAATACCTAGTCATTCCTGGATTAGAAAGGCCGTTTTGCCAAAATTAGTCCATGATGTAAAACTAAAAATTATTTATCTGCTCTTTGACAATGAAGAATGTTTTTACAGTATAATCACAAAAATAGTAATATCACTGGTTTTCACAAGTGAAAACAGAAATATATTGAAATACAAAACGTTTACTATGTAGTAAAATTAATCAAATCAATTTAGGTCAATTTCTGTTTTAAAATATTTACGACTTGTTGGAAAATCTGAATAAAGTCATTCATTGCTACTAAATATTACTTCACATTTTCTTAACACCAAAAATACTTCACAACTTTATTGATTGTTTTAACTCAGAGAATTTTTTTAGTTGCATCACAAGTTAATTTATAATTACATTTTCATAAAACTCATATTGAACACTGGTATGACGAATATACTTAATCGATATAACTAACACTCGTAAAATAAGGGAATTTGACCACCTAAGTTTAAGGGTTGATTTTACGATGATTTCTGCTAATAATTTGCAGTTTTATAAAGTATTTTATTTGAATTATACACTTAAGTTTGTCTATTGTATTTGATTACTATGAATTTATTAGCCAAATAATTAAATATATGTTCAAAAAATTTGTTTCGAAGAAACTTATCACTAATACACTTATACATTGATGATACATCCTTTTACCTTCACGTTTGTTTTAACTGTAGATTCTCTTAGAACACTTAGAGAATTTGGTAGCTCGCCATGAGAGATCACTTAGAATGACTGTAGTGAAACGACATACATCAACGGCTATGAGTACTAGTACAAATTCATTGATTCCTGGGGGTACAATGGCTGATGGTGAAACAGTGTGCTCCGAAATGGATATTTTAAATTCTTCATCGAATTATTCCATGAATACAACTACTGGATCAACAAGTCCTTCAATGACAGGATTAGGTTCGGAAGTGGAAGTTTTAAAAGCATTGAAATCTTTATTTGAACATCACAAAGTTTTGGATGAAAAAGTTCATAATCGTCTAAGAGTGTCACAAAATAAAGTAACTGATTTAGAAAATGAATTATTCGAACTAAAACGTTCAAAGATAAATAATAGTTCCACTGAAAATACATTTAATAATAATAATATTCATCGAACAATGATATCTAGTGAAACACAAGTTGACAAAGATTTCATAAAAGATGATGATACAGACATAAAGAATAATCTTGATCAAATTCAAAAGTTATCACTTGAAGGTAAATTGTATTTTGATAGTAATTACTATTTGTATCTATTCTTGTTGAAATTTCGTAATATATTAAAATTAGACAACTTTTTTCTTGAAACACTTTATTTTAACCTTGTAAATATGTAAAATAATATATTTGTAATATATTTTGGATATTACAAATATATTATTTTTATTTATAACAATCAACCCAGTGTTCAATTTATTCGAAATTATCAAATCAAACCTTGGTAATGACACCTACTTGTAAATATGTGTTATATTAAATGAAATATATTATTTGAAAAGTGCCTAATAATTCAAGACTTGAGTATTTGCACTAAGTTTGTGAACCATTTTGTTGACGTTCTTTCATATACATACATATATTTGATTTCATTAATTAACCACTTTATAAGATATCTTTACTAAGCATTGCAATGATTTAGAATTAAATTAGGGTTCTGTGCGTGATACTGTATATAAAATGTACTAACTTGAATCATAGAATGCAATTCCTGTGTACTGAAATTCAGCGGATGTTCTGAACAACTATCTTGAGTAAAATCATTTGTGAACGAGGTGGCATTTTTTTCTAGGCAATCAGGAAACTAAAATATCACTCATACCGTTTGACGTTACACGACTGAAGCTTATACACCAAATGTTTTAGACAAGATTTTCTAGTTCTATAAGCTAATGAGATATCTGTCAGGTGTCTTACCGATTTAGTCAACAAAGAAAAACACAGTATGCTAATGATACAGGCATTGATATTGTTCGTGCTTATAAAATAAAAAAGATGTGTGATTTCTTTTTTATCATATAGTTCAGTAAATGTTGTAGTTTGCAAAGAGTTTTTGATAAAAATTACACATAATAAGTTGATACTTTCCATTTATATGATACTAGATATGATAAAAGCTTCAATATTATTCTACTTGACAAGATTAGATTATATCACTGAAAGACATAAAATAGTACTTTTAAACAAGTGAAATCATTTCATGATATTAGTATTCGAATTGAAAGAAAACATAAATCACTAAAAGCAACCTGTTTATGAAAATACAATTAAGTAATTTTATTCTATATTTTAAAGTTTTACAGACAGATAAATGAATAAAAAAAGAATCAATCTTCTATACCTAAAAATTCAATAGAAATTGATCTAAATTTCTTTTGTTCATCATCTTCTGTAACACTGATTATGAAATGAAATAACATTTCTAATGTTTACATTTACCGTTTACCAAGTATTACTTATATATTTACATGAAAAAAAGATCTTTTCTAAAAATAAGCTAGTTTAGTTACCAAATATTATTTTATAGCATAAATGGCAGTTTCATAGTTGGATCAATATTTGGGAAAAAACGGAATATTTAATTTTTCTAAGTAACCAATTTATCAAACTTGTTTATTTTGTGGGTGTTAAATGTTTATAATCTACGAGTTAAAAAAATAATGTACAAAGAAAAGTGAGCGGAGAAAATGAAGGGGCAAATACAGAATTAATGATTATTTTCATTCAATGTTCAATTTAGAAAAGTGGAGTTATTATTTCTGTTTTTTCTTAATTTCTTAGTTAATAAATGGTGAATAACGTTGTCGAACAAAACGCTTATTATAATATACAATAAAATATGGGCTAATCAATATCAGCGAAATAGTCAAACAGTCATTTACTGTTGTTATGAAGATTTATGGAGATTGCTGGATTTTCATAGTATGTATCTAAATTTAATCATATGCACCGTCAGATACCAGGTCAATTATATAAATGTTAGGCAGTTGTCGTGATGTGTTAGGGGCTGGAGTTCCATCTCTGATGGGAAAATGGATGCATCATACTAGAACGAAATAGCTGTCCGATGCTTCCTGTTCTTCAATGGTTGTCTATCTAAGATCACTTTACGATGTAAACCACAACATGTACTTTACTTCTCATCCAGTCTAAAGATTTAAATTTTCCCCATCTTTTGCTTTTAGCAATATATTAAAATTTGTTATTGCGTCATAATCACTGAAATATCACTTTATTTTTTCTACAAATTAGAAACTGTTTCATTTCCACAAGGATCAGTTGGAATAAGTAAAAGTTCTGAATTCTTATCTTCGTCATCAGTTCTGAATGCTCCTTTATCAAATTTATTCTGTGGTTCAGCGTCAGCAGCTGCTCTTGAAGCAGCGAACAGAATCAAAGAACTGCAAGAAAATCTTGAACAACGTGTATGTTTATATTGGAAATTAGCTTATAAATTATTTTCACACTGTTTACAAGAGTTCCCTTCAAATAATTATTAACTCCAAGTTGATGTCTCATCACTAGCGATTATATGTCCAGCAAATATCGAAAACTACTAAGTAAACGTCGACTTTAAAAATTTCAAACAGACTTTATCTATTACGTCTTATGTGAGAAAACGGGAATGCCAGATTTTCCAAATGCGAATATAAGATTTAAAATGGAACATTTTTAATCACCTGAAAACCAATCACAGACATTTGATTTAAGATTTCTAATTACTACTTGATAATATAACTAAATGGTTTAATAAAATTAATTTTGTTTGATTATGAGGAATTATAACTTCTGAAAATAATGGCTCCTCCACGATAGCAAAAGTCACTGGAATATCGCTAGCTGATCGGGGTTTGGAAATTGAACTGAGATGAAGAATGATATGTGTTGGAATCTTTGAGCAAACTACTGGTTACCTGTTGTTTCGTATTACCCACGGTGGTGAGAGTTAACTGACAGGAAACCTAGATCTGAGGTCTTGGACCACTTGCCTCTACTCATCTAATGAGTTTGGCTTTAAAATAATTGTATAGACTCAGTGTAATTGCTCTCAAAAGAACTGGCGAAAGATATTTACGTTAACTGATCTCGAAAGTTAAACAAAACAACAAAATTGTAAAATTGGATAAGGTATCAGTAAGCATCGTTTGTTAAAGCAATAAAAACAGAGATTGATGTATCCTTCAACTTCGTTTCATGCTCGATAGGCTAATATAGTTTTTTTTACTTTAATGACTAAAAATGTTGTCACGAATTTCGAACAAATATACTGGTATTCCACCGTCTATGAATCCTGAATAAGATAGCAACTGTTGAACAAAAACAGCTAAACTCTATAATAAAAACAATCTCGAACCTAGTCCATTTATTCTTTCTAGTTTTACGACTTTACATAGTATTAATGGAGAACGACGTAAGTTCTCAAACGGCGGCATTGAATTCCAAATGTTAATATCTATTCTTGTACCTTCTTGGCTTATATATAGTCACATTAATGTTCTATCAAAAGTGTGTTTGAAAAATATTATCATCATTCAAAGACCAACAGCTTCCAATGCTGAGGAGACGGGGTTGATCTGAAAGATGTGATATATTTGCTCAATACATTTTAAGTAGCCTGGTCACACATATACTTTTGAAAGCATGGCATGTGAAAATTAATAAAGGTCAATTAAATAAATTGAGTGGAACGGAGAATGAAACTATAAACTTGTTCGATTATGGGAAGCTATCCTGGACTGAACAATATCCAAATTTGCACTGCAACACAAGCGGGGCTTCACAAAGTGCTACTTCGACAGAACTCAAAGAATATTCACTACAAATACGTTTAAAGACACAGGATTGTTGACTGAAAATCGATACTAAACAGATACCAATTAAAGTAGATGAATAGGTGTAAACATTAGTTCTTAATTCTTCTGCAATGAAAATGGTCTATATCTCTCCACTATTCAGAAAAGTATCAAACATTACAATTTTGAGATAGAAGCTAAAAGCAACCATCAAGAAAACATATTACGCTGATATACTGGTTGTATTTAGAATGATCAAGTTCTTGATTGCACTTTAGCCTGGACATTTCACAAATGATTACGTTACATTCCATTCCATTCCATTTACTAATCTGCATGTTTATTTAAATATATATACATAGAGAGGGGTAATTAAACAACTGTTATTATTTTATTACAAGTAATTAGTGATTTTTTTTTCACTTAATTCATTCATTATTTATATCAAATATTCACTTTTTATTTTAAATAAAGTTTTATTTAAAAGAATTATATCTTAATAAATTTTATATTTTCAACTTATCGAATCACTATCCACTTTCATTACATTATACACTGATTTCTGTAAGTTTAAAATAGACACTTATCACAAATATTTAAAACAATTAGTCCCTTTGATAAATTTCGATAATACAATGAGAAGATTTCATGCAATAAGTTCATTTAATGAATTTAAATAAGGCAAGAACAAATATTGATGCAGAATAATATGAATTCATAATAGTTCGAGGTATCTCATCAGCTGCTTACAACCAAATATGTAATAGAATTTTACATTGAGATACGAAATTGTGTGAAACAATTGACATAAATGATTGTAAATAATTGGAATGGCAAACGTTTACAATAATAACTATATATATATATATATATATATATATATATATATATATATATATATATATATATATATATATATATATATATATATATATATATATATATATATATATATATGTAGGAACAGGTTAGAGGTTAATTGGTGTTAGAATTAAGGAAACAATTCAAGATCGGTGATATAGTAGTTGAGTGGAGTTCATAAATTGTGTGGTAATTTTAAAGGCAGTGAAGGATTCATGGAGTGATAAGATAGGTTACGTAGTAATTGAATAGAGTTCGAAAAGTTAACATAATTTAAGAGGGTAAGTGGGCGGAAATGTGTGAATGAAAAGTTGATTTAAGAATTTGGTAATAGGGGAGGAATTTAAAACACAAAATAAATATTTTAAAATAAATAAATGAATAAAATAACACAAATAACCAAAGAACAATAAAAATAAAATAAAAAAATGGATCACCAGGGGTAATAATAAGTTTAATACTGTCTCTTTTGAAGAAGACGAAGTTTATCACAATTATGTGATATATTTGCTCAATACATTTCGAACAATCTGATCACACATATACTTGTTAAGATATTTTATATCTAAATTAAGAGGTCAACTAGATAGGTTAAAGGTAAGCCATAACAAGAAAAAAATAATAATATTAAAGTGCACAAAAACAAATGTGATTACCACTCTGGATAATAAATCAGTATTACCAGGGTAGGTTAAGTGTAAGGACAAATTGTTTCTGAACACATAAAGGGGATTTCAATTTCCATATAGCCATGGCTTCAACAAGCCGTAGTATACGTCTTTGAAGGCTTTTGTATAATACTACAAATGCTGACTTGATTTCAAACTTATGACCAATCTCAATCAAATGTTTCGCAATAGAGGATGATGTCTGTCTATCCTATGATCTTATTTGAACAGATTATTCGAAATGTATTGAGCAAATATATCACATAATTCTGATAAACTTCGTCTTCTCATTGCATTATCGAAATTTGTCACAAATATAATTTTCATATAAAATTTATTGTTAATTTTACTCGTAGAATACATAGTACCCTAAATCTGTGATGATAGATAGTATGAGAATCTCGTACAATACACAAAGTTTGCTAGATTACAAGTGGTTTAGGACTTGTTAAATGAATGATCTTTATGTTGAAATATATACATACCATATTTTTTTAAAAATTAACTTCAAAAAAGAACCTATTGTATAATATAAAAGGGTGAAAAATATATTTGTAATATTATTTTTAAAAATATACTAATGATTCATTATATTTGTCTTATTTATTTTATAGGCATCTGAATTACTCGCTGCTCGAAGGCAAGTGATTGAACTGACAAGTCGATCAAGAGAAAGCTCAAATTCATTGAGTTTAGCACAGAGTGAATTAAATCATGCTAATGACCAAGTAAATTATTCAAATATCATTCAACTTTTATAATAGAAGTATAAACTTTTTAAATGAATTAGTCTGTTTATCCAACATCATAAAATTATAGCTTAAAGTAGTAGTTCTGGAAACTGACGTATTTTGAAATCCTTGACATCGACGACATGAAATTATAAAACCCGTTGCATTAACCGATGATCATATGGATTCAATAGCTCAATGTACAACATTTTGACGTATTTGTTTAAGGATACAAGGTTTGAGTCTCAGTGTAAAAATCAACAAGTAAATCCAACTGACGAGTCTTAAATTGGATTATATTGTTAGCCACTGTTCATTTGATGAAAATAAATGGTTTGTCCAATAGCTGTTTATGTGTTTCTATACATAGTTTGTTTGCAATTCAGAGATTCAAGAAATAATTTTTATGTTCAATTCTATCTGAGTTTAATTCATGGCTGCAATCAAAATCTGTTAATTTAGGTGCTTACTACTTTCGGCTTAATTAGTGTAGACGATATGATTATTGGATTATAGTTTCGTAATGATTTGGTTTCAGAACTCAAAATCTCTGGACTATCATCTTTGGATTATCACTTCGTTTCATTAATCAATCCACCTTTAAAAATAATCAGAAAGATGCTATTTGAATAATAACTTTAGAAACGATAATTTTTTGTCAAAACGTATATGATATGTTCATCAGTTGTTTAAAGATTCTAATCTCAATGCACTTCCGAAAGTCTCTCACTAATTGATTTTTCTTCTCTAAAATTTTTGACGTTTATCGAATAAATATAACTTTCTATTATATAATGGAATTTATTTGGAGGATCTAAGTAGTTCGTGAATTTGTCAGTCAAGTTCTTGTAGTTCACTTCAACCTAATGATACATAGCAGGGTTCAAGAGATAAATAATAACTTGATTGAAGAGGATGGATAGGAATGAAGACATACTGTTTAGAGGACTCATTACATTTCACTCCATACAAATGACTTGTAAAGAAGAGTGAGATTGAATCTTATTGTCAAGACTACATAGGTCATTCTAGACTATAAGCAGACCAGTCTATTCATTCTTCTCAAGCCACATTTTTACCCTGTCCCTTATTCGCTTATTAACCCTGGCTGTTTTTTTATATGATCGTATGTGTGTTAATTACTTACCCTATTCATCATGTGTCTGTAACGTATTTTTGTTTGACTATAACTATCGATGAATGCTTGATTACATTGAGTTGGTTAACTCACCTTCGCCACTATGCATCGTTTCATTTCACTTTGCTTCCTTTTCATCGCATCCCTAATTGTCTGTTCCGATTAACGATTGTATAAAATATACGTAATTGAAATCCATTTTCGTATTTGACTTGTTTAATTCCGCGATTCACTAACGCGAGTCGATGAAAATATACGAGGGTTTGCGGCATGTAAATTTCGACAACAATCATCGTAGGATCTAACTGGAGTCAGATACAAGGTCATAAAATTCTCATACCTTGACTACGGACGATTCATTGACTAAAATAAATATAATCTGATCAATAATATCTCGTTTAATCCACCATATATCAAAAACATTATTCGGGCTCAAAAAGTATTCTTTGTGGTATTGATACAGCGTCTTTACGTGAAATTCAGTTACTTTTACTCCTTTAGTCATCCTAAAAAGTCTAAGTTAAATTTATTCTTGTTCTATGACAAAAAATATACTTTTTATGAAAGCCAACAGTTAGCATCGTTTCGGAAACCACTTTGGAATCCATGAAAAGACTGATAGTAACTTCATGATATGTTTCTCAAGACCGAACTGAAATTTTCCTTATGATATTAACACCAATACAGACTGCAACATATTTTTGTAGATGGTCTGACAAAACAGGATGTTCAGAATAATACACAAGATTTAGAATTTATTAGCTCCCAATTTTAAAAGTGTACGGAAAATATATAGTTCGTACTGAGTATTTTCACTCATCATACAAATGAGACAGATTTGAGTGCTTATTTTACAGTTAAAACTATTAAAATGCAGATAATCATAGTACCACTATAAGCGTTTACCTTTTCGTCCTCTGGAGCGCCTAAACGTCTTTCAGTTTGCAGTTGAGCAACCTTAGTTTTTCTGGATTCAAAATGCACGAAATATTTTGTTCTCGGTTTGAGAGTTGATTTTTAGACAGTTATTTATTATTTAGGTTATATATGGATACTTATATATATCACAAAAATGTTTTAATTAATTTATTTTAGATTGAAAGGCTTACTCGTGAACTACGTGAATCTGAGCAACGAAGAACTGATCAAGAATCCCTAGCTACGAGTTTAGAACAAAGATATTTAGTTACTCAGCGTGAATTAAATGCAGCCCAAGATATGACTGACAAATTACGAGCTGAATTAGCCTTCAAATCAACGCAACTTAAACAGGTAAAATTTCAAAGTTATTAACATTCTTTTTTGAAAAAGGCTTTCATCCTTTAAAACTATCCGATTTATTTACTGTAAATTTCTTTCATAGAACAGATCAATCCGCATTTTATATGTGACATAACATTTACCAATAAATAAATAAGCAAATATATGTAGTTAGTGATAGATAACTATAAAGCACACGCTTCGTTCAAATGGCAGAATAACTAAGACGTCTTAAATCTGAAAGGATACAGATGAGATAATAATAATACAAAAAACAAACCAAACAGTACTTATCGAAGGAGAGTTACTCTCATTAACACCGAGTTGATTGATTATACCCAACAAGATTAACAAAATGTCAAATTAACAAATCTACAGTAAATTTATGGGTATCTAGAAAATTAATATAATCATTATATATATTGTAGGTATCATTACCAAGGTTTGATTTGATGATTTCGAATAAACTGAGCATTGGGTAGATGGTTATAAATAAATAATAGATTTGTAATATCCCAATGAGTAGAAAAATTAGATTTTCTGACGTTTCGTCGCTTAGTGTAAGTCACTTCTTCAGAGAACAAGTAACTAAATTAAAATTAATCCAAGTTTAAATAGTACAACGGAACAATAAGAATATGTGATCAATCAAAAACAGGTCTGAACAGGTTAATGTCATGTCATTTCGGTCAAGGTGATTTATAAGTAAAACTTATGTAAATTTATGTGTATGTATGTGTTAGGATATTCGGAAAAATATACCAATAATTATCATGTTAAGTCTAATGGTGTCCTTGGACTTCAAATGGACATTCCCTATTGGTCAATATTTATTTCACTTGTTAAACATTGTACAAATGTTGTTTTCTATTTTGTGGTACGATGTGGTCTGGTTGATTGGTATATAAACAGAGTATGTTTGGAATATAACGATTCATAACTCGGAGGCTGAGACTTGCGTTGTGGACTCAACTGGCTGGGTTAGACGGGGAAGCAGGGCCAATCGGAACTCTAGGTCGTCCTTACGTGTCACTGAATCGATCGATATCACGCCTTGCTCTAATCTTCAGGCCTCAAGTTACAACAGTATGTGTGCATTGTTTAAGGATGAAAAATTGTGTGAGATTCATGGTGAGAAAGGACAGAGTTTAGTTTGTAAGATGGTAGTGTGAATTGTAAATACGATCAGACTGAATGGCTAGGATAGATAGTCCACGTAGGATGTATGGTAAGGCCTTGTTTTCTATTGAGCGAAGTAGGATTAAGCATGATATGGAACGCTTAAGCTACTCTCCTTTCTGTGTAATGGGAAAAGCCTTTTTGCAGTATTTTGATATGTTTAAAATCAATTTGGTGGTCGTTGAAAATGGCATGAACTGTTATTGCCGATTTACTTTGAAGTTTATTCAATTCCATAGGATTGTTAGGAGGTTTCTTTGTGTACTTAATATGTTCTTCGGCTCTAGTCAAGATTTCTCGAGATGACTCTCCAATATAGAAGGCATCACAATCGATACAACCTAATTTGTAGACACAGTTCTTTGTGGACATGAAAGGGATTTTTTCTTTTAAGCGAACTAAAGTATTTCGAAGTGTGTTCGTTGTTTTGTAATATACTTTAATTTTGTGTTGTTTTAAGATTCTTTGGAGTTCTTCTGTTGTGCCATCATTATATATATTATGTAAATGAATAAATGTTTACCGATATTTTCAAAATATGTTAGTTTCATGACTGTATAAAGCATAGTTTATTTCCAAATGTACATCACATGTCATAATAATAATGATAATAATAATCATTTGGTCGACCAAACCATCCAGCTCAGAGAACAAAACTCCACCAAAATCATCCACCTGAGCTACAAATCTTTTCCACCATCTCATAATTATTTAATTTTACTGTTTCTTCAAACTAGAATTGGGCTAGATATCAGAAATTCATCTAAACGCCTTATGTATGCAGAATGCTATAAAACAGAAATGAACTGAATTGTTTATCAATTTTTATTTAAAACAAAGATAACCATAACTTGTGAAATCATATTTAGGGTGTTCCATGAACAAAAAGGAAAGCGTATGCTCAAGTAAATTGACTATTTAACAATTTTTCTATAGTTTTAATTGATTAATTATCATTTCCAGCGTACTATGGTCTCGGAGTTGTAAAATCAAGATCTTCCTAAGACTCTTGGAGGAGTTTACTGAGCTCTGTATATTGTATGATGGGAAACGCTTCTGAAGTCATTTGACGCTCGTCCAAAATACAGTGAAGTAAAGTTGTTTTTTTCACTCACATTTCAGTTATACATGATTTTCATTGAAAAAACTGGTTAGCAGAAAGCAAAAACAAGTAGCATGGTAGAAGTGAGTGCTGTTTATAAGTAGTGATCAACCATCATTTCAGGAGATATAACTTCCAGTCGCTTAGACGATGTTTAACATGTTAGATAAAAAGCTCAACGTATAAATAAAAACAAGTGAATGTTTACTTATTCATAACAAGCATACTGTGAATTTTACAATGAGCAACTGTAAAAGAGAGTTTTTCATAATACCGTAAGATCTCTCATATAAACTTAGACAATTCAGAGAATCCAAATTACATAAATTTATGTAGTTCACTGTTTTGTTTGTACTGGAAATGCTGTAACTATGGTTTATCTGTCAATTTTATTTCCACTGAAAGAATTAATCTGTGAAAAATATATTTCTTGCTTCCGTGATAATAAGCCTTTTTAGGGCTTGAAACATTCTTAAGTGGTTACTGTTATCGAAAATTGGCATAAATTTACAGACTATTAGAGATTGCAAATTTACTAAACATTTATTCTCAGTGGTTGATTGATCGCGTTTATATTTTTTCAATAATTAAAACAGAAATGTGTTTTGTGTTGCATAAAATAACAAATATCACACACAGTGACTGTGAAATTTCACTAAATTAATGCTACAATATATATGATTGCCTAAGACTGTTATGTATTTATTCATTTATGCAGTTGAAAAGAAAGAACAAAATAGAGCGAAAATGTTACACAACCTAATTTTCACTGTACTCCTAGTGATTAATTGACGCACTCCTTAACAAATGTAAGATTAAGAGATAACAGAAATCTTGTCGTTTATTTTTCATGCTCAGTCAACAATAATATAATGAGAAAGACTAGTGAGTATTCGTGATAAGTGTAGAAGTGCTTGTGAGAATTGGCCAGTAAGAATGCGAGTTGAAGAGGGGTAAGCTCAATTCAAATCGAACAGTTTGAAATTATCGATCATGATTTTAAGGAAATTCTTCTTTGAACCATCCTGATTTATTTCTTAGGAAATAATGAATTTCCAAATAGTAGTGATTAATAGATTTTCTTTTATGCATAATTGAGAAACTCATTGATTGAAAAGAAGAAAATGGTTAGTGAGATAACATAATTTTTACAGTGAGACATTCCAAACTGCCAAAGTGTAAAAGAACGTCATATTGTTTTAAATTGCTTATAGATGAAAATGTTTACGCACCTCAATGTATATAAACGTTACTAAATTCCCGAACTATCGTGTAAATGCTAATAGGTTAAACTTATGAATTCGTTAATCAATATGCATTAGCTTAAAATCAAGTAACTTGTAGTTAGGATGTTTAGAATAAGGTTCTAACTTGAGATCTGTACAGCTAGACCATACTTAGTTCATTTATTACTACAGTTTGTTTGTTGATTCATTACGTAATTTAGTTAAAAAAAGTTCATAAATTCAATATTCCAATCAGTGAAAGGAACATCTTCATAGATCTCTAATATAATAATTGCTTATCTACTAGTAACCAGCTTTGAGATGAACTTTTCAAGATTTAGTTTTTAGTAACGTCTGATAGAGTTCGGTTATATTGATAGGAATAGAAATTTTACAAAACGTTTAAAACAATATTTGTGCTGTATCATGAACTGTTTAACAATAAAAATTAGAACTATGAAATTTTAACTACGTTATCTAAAAAAGCCTTTTAACCAACAATACTTGGAGGTTGTATGTTCAATCAATGGATATGTATTATAAATGAACTCAGAGTTAGAATGGATGAAAATTTCAAAACAAATTATTCATCTAAACAAAACAATGAGAGTCAAATGACATTATTTTTCAAAACTATAACATTTCGTTTGTTCACTCAAAGAATTACTAATATATCATTATATATATTTATATATAACTTCATTTTTTTCGAAAGAAAAATTCCGATAAACAAACACAATTTCCCTTTCTGTTTAATCATAATTCTACTTAACAGATATATATATATATATATATATTTATATATATCTTTGTTTCTGACAAGTATATCAAAAGACGATCGATAGTCTAGTCTAAATCACATTCAGTCTCTGTGTAATGAACAATCAGTTAACCATTGATTAGTCAATTGGTTAGAAATAAAAATGCATGATTTTCGTGAGCACCTACCCGTGTGGTTAAGCAAAGGTGTTGTCAAAACTGTTAACAGCTCCATCTTAGACCATTTAGTCCAAACAGGACATACAGCAAACATGGAGCAATCTTTCGCAATAATCTATCGTGTCAACAGCAGTCTACCTAATTCCGTCAGACTGCGAATCCTACAGACGGCTGGAGCAATTGCTATTCGAATCAAAAAACCAGAGCTTTGTATCCAAAATAAGTATGTTCAGCCACTCCTTTTACCCTGGCCAACTAGCTAATAATCAATCTTATAATGTGGTGACGTAATCTAATTAATGTTCATTTTATGACCCAAACTTATTGTTATTATTATTACTGTTATTATTACTATAATTTTTATTTTTATTATTATTATTATTGTCTTTACACTTGATAACCCCTTTTTGAGGAATTTATTCAATATCCACCCCCGAATCTACTATATTTGACCTAATTATTTTACATATAACGTAATTTTCACAGATTGAAATCATGAGTCAGTTGAAGCTAGACCACCATTGAAAACCTGGAAGCACTGGACGGCCGTTTCGTCCTGGTATGGGACTCCTCAGCAGTGCGCATCCACGAACCCGCACCACCCGGGGCTCGAACCCAGGACCTACTGGCTTCGCGCGCGAGCACTTAACCATTAGACCACTGAGCCGGCATCCAACGGTGTTAATGTCTAACTTCAACCAATCCACGAAGTTGCGCTACCGTACACCATTGTCTTCAGTGAGTTCCTATCTCACAACAGACCTGGTTGAACTCCACTGGTAACGTAATTTCCGATTTGTAATCACAATATTCTCTCTCTCTCTCTCTCCTACCCGATGTTGACCATATTTATTCTGATAATTTATCTCACAATTTCATTTCACTTATAAACTGATTCAAGTTAACACTTCATATTAGTCATCCCAACATTAAAGATTTTGTTTTATATGACAAACGATTCCTGATTCACATATTACAGTTTCCAAATGATGATGTATTTTGCCTTAAATCTGGCCAATTTTATGGATTATTATTCTGGATTTATAATTGTAGAACCTGATGAGAAATTCGTTGAAAAGAATATTCTTCGTTCATACAATTGTGTTTTATTTTATTATTCTCTAATAAGTAGTTGCAACAGCATCTACAGATTGACACCTGTAAAATCTCGATTTTGTCAATTTTTATTTTTATGTTTGGCTTTGGGGCGATTTGTGTTCTTACAGTGATCGGTTTATAATTGCAATGGAATTTCGTTTTTATTTGACAATGTTTTTTTCTGTTTTTTTTTCGATTAAAATGCTGTAGTTACACGTAAATTCTAGACTAGAATTCAGGTTACGAAATTCCGATATTTGACTTAGGTTGTAACAGTGTTACATAATCATGGACTAATCGTTCATTTCATTTTTTCTATTCAGCAAGAAGAAAAAGTTCGAACACTACAAATTAAATTAGATACAATGGAAGACGATCTGTTGCAGAGTAGATCATTGTCAAATCATTTCTTGACTAAATCTTTCAAAACTAAATACATTCATGATGAAGTTGACATTGATGATGATGATGAGGAGGAGGAGGATGTTATTGCTGGAACTCAATACAATGAAGAAAATGCTTGCTCTGATGAAAGTAATCCTGAATTAATGAATAAACAAATATCTGAGGGGGAAATGGAACAAGAGACTGATTCAATCACTGGCCTTGAGAGCAAACGTGTCCGAAAAATCAAATCTATTAGATCAGCATCAAAAAGGAATCATTATTCTCGACATATCTTTCAACAGGAATGGAATTCTTATGAAGATCAGGTAAAAGAATTAACAGATGAAATAGAAGAAGTTAGACAAGAATTAACGCGTGCAAAAGAAAGAGAAATCATTAATGAAGAACACATAACTCGTTTATCGGGAACGGTAAGTTAACAATTGTGATCAATCAAAATATATGTGGATTTTGACTGAATTATTTAACTTTGTGATAGAATATATTTTTTTTATCTCCTTCAATTTTCGATTAGATTTAACTTAGTACAATATCTATATTTTAACTGATTAATGCAATCTGGTTACATGTGAGATAGTAATTTTTATAAGGTTCTTATTAGTTATGCATTCCTAAAAAATATACTTTTATCCACTATGTTATATGACGAAAAGTGACAAAGCTGTGAATGTTTAATTTTCAGAATGAGTTTTGTGGAGATTTTAGTAAATTTCACAGGTTGAAATCATGAGTCAGTTGAAGCTAGACCACCATTGAAAACCTGGAAGCACTGGACGGCCGTTTCGCCCTAGTATGGGACTCCTCAGCAGTGCGCATCCACGAACCCGCCCCCACGGGATTCGAACCCAGGACCTACTGGCTTGGTTTGAAGTTAGACAGTAACACCGTTGGATGCCGGCTCAGTGGTCTAATGGCCAAGTGCTCGCGCGAAGCCAGTAGGTCCTGGGTTCGAATCCCGTACGGGGCGGGTTCGTGGATGCGCACTGCTGAGGAGTCCCATACTAGGGCGAAACGGCCGTCCAGTGCTTCCAGGTTTTCAATGGTGGTCTAGCTTCAACTGACTCATGATTTCAACCTGTGAAATGTTTAATTTGTAGGACAGTCGGTATATCACAATGCATATTTGGAATGGATTTATTTACAAATGTTATTTAATACAAAATCGAGATATGTAGATCATTTGGATTATTGTTTATCTCGCAACGTGATTTTTATAAAAACTGTGGATTAAACGGAATGTTATTGGTTACAATTCAGTGTTACTTTGTGTTGAAATTATTGGTATTTTATCATTAGTTCCATGTAAAAAAAATACTCGTATGATTATTTTACAGAAATAGTTTATCTGTTTATTATGTTTAGTGTGTTACAGTAGTTTTGATATGTTGAATTATATTTAACATACAATTTCAAGGGGAATATTCAACACATTTTTCATCTTATGATTCACAATCTTATAAACATTAAAGGGATATCTACAGCTGTCTTTTGGGGGGTGATTTTCAAGATGTTCCCGTATGCTACAAAATAATTATTGGTCTCCTTCCAAATTTTTGGTTCGATTTTAATTATTATGAATATTTAAAAGGGTATCATCTCTTAAAACTGATTAATCGCTTTTTGAATTAATTTTAATAAAATTCTTAAAGGCTATTCTTTCAGCTCTGTGGCCTTTCCTAGAATGGATGTTTATAATTGAATCATAGGAATGAGGCTATTCAATCTAAGGGATGGAAGCTGAATGCAGAAAAAATTCGAACTCAAAGTAATAATTACTGAGCTAGAGTTCATGTTTAGGCATCAAAATTGGTTATGAGAAGAAGACTGCTTCTTGAACTCCGAAAATATATAATGATCTCGTGGTTTGATCCAGGTGGTGATTGAACATATGAGCTACGCTAACGCATTTTAGGGAAAGGCGTCTAGTGAACTATCAGATTTAGGGAATAAGTTCACATAGATGAAAAATTTCAATTTTTGGTACATTATAATTCACTTTTAAACGATGGAACATTAATTAGGTTGATAACATTTTTATTTTCATTGAATATCAGAATCCAGACAAAAAAAGATTCCCACTTTCTCACTGAGATAAATGCTGGAATACATATTTTCCTGATATGTTTTTGACGAATTATCTTATTTTCAAAGGAATTTTAGATATTTGATATCGTTAATCTCTAATGTATACAATAAGTGTAATTATTTGCAATTCTTTTCTTCAAATCATTTTACATTAGTGCCTAAAGATACAATGTAGAAAGTAACAGTTGAATTCATGAGTCGATCATAGCCAGACCAACATTAAGAAACGTGGAGGCACTGAACGGCCATTTATTCCTAGTATGGGATTCCTTAACAGTTCTCAACCACGGTATAGAAAAAATTAATAGAAAACCTAGTTTTTGACATTATTTTAATTAATAATTTATATAAAAGTTAATAGTTAGAATTGTATATCTATCTTATTTATATTTAAAGGTTGATAAATTATTACAAGAATCTAATGAACGTTTACAAAATCATTTACAAGAAAGAATGTTGGCTTTAGAACAAAAACAAAATTTAAATAATCAAATTGAACAAATAAAGAGAGCATTAGAAACAGCAATAAGAGAACGTGAAACAAATATAACAGAATCAATGTTATTAAGACAGAAATTGTCTGAATTAGCAGCTGCTTTTCGTTATTCACAAGCTCAACTTGCAATTGCTCATACATCAACTTCTGCAGCTCAGGCTACAATTATGGCATTAGCCAAAGCATCATCTGAGAAAGTTAACATGGAACGACAGCAACAACAGCATAATACAGATATTTCTATACAAAATTCAGGTAAAATGTAATGTAGATATTTCTTTTTTGAAATAATATCAATGATATATATGTAAAGTCTACATTAATTGACTGAGTTGAATATACACCCTAAAAAGTATTTCCGCAGCATGCATTCACCAGTTGATGTGATTGCTAAAGTATAATATCAACAGTTTCAGTAAAAAAATAAACAATCATAAACTGAATCATACTTCTGAGCTTAAGTTCAATCATAAATCGTGTCGCTTGATTAGGAAACGTTAACAAAACAATTCACTTAGTATTGTTTACTTGAATCTTCCGATTGATGTTCAGGACTACAATTGATGTCTCATATTGGCACATGTAAATACTGTGCGTATTACCTCGATATTGCCTTAATTCACAAGAATTCCAAGCAACGATGGATTAAGACAATATCTAGGCAATACGCATAGTATGTACATGTGCCAATATGAGACATCAATTGCAGTCCTGAACATCAATGGGAAGACTCAAGTAAACATGCCAAGTGAATTTAGACTTCACCCCATTGCGCAAGCAAGTGGCTATCAGGACTCGGTAGCTAAGTGGATAACACGATGGCGTTTGAAGCGAACGGTACTGGGTTCGGATCCCGGAGTGAATATCAACTCCGAGATGCAGGTACATCCAGCTGACGAGTCCCAACTAGGACGAAACGCGCGTCCTGGCTTCCACTGCTAGCCGCTATCCCCTTTTGGTTAGCAAAGGAAGTTTTAACTTATTACTAGTCTATTACTTAAGTGTTTTAATGGTGCATTCATGAGAATGAATTTCCTTGATATGAGCGGAACTTGAAACAGGAATACTATAATTTTGTATTGTATTCTATTGAAATATTCTAACTGTCAAATTGATTAAATGTCAAACTGTTCATTGGAACAGATATATTTCTTTAAAATTACTAAGGATAATTTTAATAGCATTTTGTGTAGCATAAAAATGAAACCATGTCTACATTTTCAAAGAGAAAAGAAACTTTCAGAACAAGTATATTTTTATCAGTAGTCAACAGTTTGTTGAATAATACACAATGTCATCTTGTTTATCTGTTGGTACATATAAGAGAGATATTGAAGCAGAGGCTCTGTTTAAAACTAGAGAGCTTAATGCATTCATTTTTTCAATCTGATGGTAAATCTACTACATTACCCGAGCTAAACTCATTTCGTGACAAACTACGTTCAATTCTTCATAAACCACCGAATAAGCTATAACTGAAATCTTGAAGATTACAACGTTTATGTCTGTGCCGGAGATATAAGGCACCAGAAAACATTATTCCTACTATTATCGCTGATAAAACCGAAAGGATTCGTGAAAGCAAAGTACACAGATATTTTTATTAGTAACAATGAAAAACTTGTTATTGATTTAAATAATTATGATTGAGTTACTGTCTAATTGGAAACCCAACTAACTTGATACCCATACAGCTTTCTTATGATTGTATCAATAGTTAAGTAACTTTTTTCATAGCTTCAAATATATTTATATTTTATAATAACTACTGAACTAATCCAAATTAGGCTTTACCATAAACCACTCTGAAGTAACTTTTGCGTAGTCATACTTTGTGAGATGTTCGTAATAACTTACAATGAAGCAAGAGAATGATGTAATATTTAAGGAAAAATGTCATTACACGTAATGTAGTTCTTGTAGTAACAGGTTCTAAGATTAAAGTTTCGTTAAATTAAGAGTTTCGTTAGCAAATATAAGCTTTTAGTTCAACAGACTCTGTAGCCGTTTCTAAGGTTATTACTGAACTGAATCAACCCACTGTATATGCGAAAAAAAGATATTTTTCTGTTGGCTACCTTGAGACATCAGTTCTTTTAGTAATTTATTATGGATATCCATACGATTATTCCCATATTTCGTCGACCAAACAACCTATAATACCATAAATCCACAACGGAGTACAATTTTCAGAAGTCCAAACAAAGCAGGAAGAGCAGTTTATTTCTACGAACTACTTTAATCACACAACTCAAAAGAAAACAGAAAGACTGGTGAAGTTATGAATGTGGTCAAAACCCAAATATGTATTCTCTGTTTTTATGCGAATGAGTCATTAAGCGTCTGAGTAATTAACATTCAGATGGTTATGGCAAATAAATATGTAGGCGGTCCTATGCATTCCACAGCAAATCCTTATTTATGATGTATAAAAAAGAAAGTGAAAGAGTGCTATGATGAAAAATAACACGTACTATATTTGCCTACCAAATAGGTTGAATCGAAGTCTTAAATGATTTGAAACTACAGAAACCTATATGTAGAAAAAGCTACTATGAGTATATGATTTACCGAAATAAACAGAATTCAAGCATATAATGTTTTATCATGTTTTAATTCCTTTAACCAGGTTTGAATAAATAAGGAAAAATTAATTACCTACTGTATTGGAGTTTATATTGATCTTGATTGATAACCTTCATTGTCAATAATATTATACTTTCTGTTTCGTTGTAGTATTTATTGAACTTATTTTCTCAAGTTTTTACCTACTTTTTATTTTACAATATTAAATCATGCTATTCTTATTCAACTTATTAAGACTAGTACACCTGTCATCTTACTTCATTTATTGTGATAAGTTGTGCACCTTACTTTCTTGTTATTACTGACTTTTACTTTTTTGTAAATTAAAGCTTGGTAACCTAGTTATCAATAATATTGTTCACTTATAAGTTGTCGTCTAATTTCATTCCTATATAATTTAATTCAAATTTTTATTCTTTATTTTAATTATAGTATGCCCTTCAAGTGTAGTGGAAAAATATGGAACTGAGCAAAGTAGTCCAATAGATTTAATTTCAAAATTGATCACTAATACATGGATCTATTCACAAGCTAATAATAATTCGGTAGGTGTTTAACTCTCCAAGTTATTTTAATATAGGCTTTATACTACATATCTATGATGATTGAAAATTAGTGTATACATTTAATATTCATACATGTAATCAGTTATCAGCGAGAAAAATTTGTTGACTCAAGCATAACCATGATTTTTATTGAAATAAAGAAAGACTTCATCTAGCCTAAATGATGTAAATTAGAGGAGCGTATTTGAAATGTATACCAGCATGTGAAAGAGATTGATCATATAAAATGAATAGAAAAATTTTGTAAAAATTAATGAACTTGAGTAACGTAATAATTTCTAAACATCCTATGATATAATTGGTTACAATAGAATGGACTAATTACAGTTTGCAGGCTGATAAAGGATATTTCTCAATTTTTATTAGGAAAAATATAGATTTCTTACAAGACGTTTCATGGATTAAGATATATAGGGTAAATATTTGGATTGTAAGAAATATATTTGTGTTTTATGTCAATCTAATAAATCTGCCTTACGGAAAAAAAGTTAAAGAATTTTATAATCAATTCGAAAAGGATATCTGAAAAGAAAATGTCTTACTGATGTTTCTGCTAATACCAGCCAACGATATTTGGCAAACTTAAATCAGACTGTAGGTTTGTGTGATTTGCACTCATATTCTTACTCCACTAAAGCCTCCTGTAATGTTTGTCTGAACACAAACCAAGTGGATCTCATTTATGACAGTAATCATGCACTTGTGTCTTTACAGCCTTAAGTGATAATGTTTTTTGAATCTATCTAGAGCTCTCAGTTCTTCAAATACAGCATGAAATTTTTAAAATGTAGTGCTGTTACTTAAAAACTAATCTTTTTACATAAGTAAAACAATCCTAGTCAACTCTTCAAATACATTTAAATGCATATTCGTGAAACCTTCATTTAATACGGAAGAGTCTGTGTATAACATATCCTGATTATCAATTCACATAAATTTTTCTAGAACACACAACATAATAACAATAAACACGATTAATAGTTAAAACAAATAGCGTTTATAAGCAAAGATGGGCGGTGGCTGGCAGTGGAATCCAGTACGCGCGGTCCGCACTTATTTGGATCCATTTAGCTACTGAGTCCTGATAGCCATTACCTTGTGCAGTAGCGTGGAGTTTTAATTCATTTTGTATTACGATTTGAGACAATATCGAAGCAGGATGCACATATGACAATAAGTGGCTGATCAATTGCAGTCCTAAACATCAATGGAAAGATTCAAACAAGCGATTCAAAAAGAAAATAACTTTAAGTTATGGCCTTGCAATTATACATATCATCATAAAAACTAAGTTGTTTATTGAGATGTCTAAATGAATATAAATTCAAAATGAAAGATAAATCGTAGTTTCCACAAGCGTGCTTCCTGGAAATTTAACAGTCTTTTTGACAACAAAAACACGACATTTGCTGAGGGCATGAAAATATTAGAAACCGAAAAATTGTTGGTGTTTTTAGTTCCTGAGAATTGGATGTCATTGACTGTCAGCGGAACGACATCACAAATTTACCGATATTGATTATGTGAACTGATAGATTCCGACTCACTGATCTAAAGAAAATAAGTTCAATACCAGATTGTAAAATGCTTTAGTAAATCTCATGTGTAATAATAAGTGTACTTTAGGTTTAAACGCGAGTAGACGTTCGTAACACCAAAAAATATCTTTTTGTAGTGACAGGTAATCTTGTTGGAAAATACACAAAATAATGTCCAATTTAACAAATGAATTCTTTTGCTCATTTAACATTACTGGGTTGATTTTTGCATTATCGGAGAACAATAATACATACTTTTTGGGGATTTACAGAATATATATGCAAATGATCACGATGAAATCATACATTATCTCAATTGATTATTGATCATTAATACTGTTTTTCTTTGTTTTTCTTACATCTCAATCCATAAGGATCAACCAATAGAAATGAATCCTGATGTTGAATTACACAATATTCAATCACTTCCTAATACAATTAGTGATAATAATAACAATAAATTTTATCAGTCGAATGAATTACAGGAAATGTTAACTCGACAAAATGTAATGAATTTCAATGATCCATCATTACAATTAAATCATGATACTGTTAATCAATTGTCCTTGAATGATATAGTCAATTTTATGAAAATGAAACAACTACCAAACACCATATCTCAGCACAATATTCAAGAAAGTGCAACTGATTCAACTACAGATCCACAATCTTTAGCGTATATGTTAAAAAATCAATTAGATGCTATCAATAATGAGATAAAATTAATTCAAGTAAGTATAGAAACATTATATAAATGATATGTATTCAATTTCTGAATGTATACAATGTGAAAGAAATATAGATGGAGAAGTGAAGCAACATTTATGAGAACTTGATTTTCAAAAAGTTAACAACAGGTTAGAATTCCACTTCACTTAATTCAGTTTGAGATAGCGGATACTGTCATTGACTCCACTTGAATATCTGGGCTACCTGTTCCTGCCATCTAGATATTTCAACAAGTTATCCGCCTTTCATGTTTCAACAGATCATTATTTCAATTAATTGCACAACCTATTCAGGTGCATTTGTGAACATTTCACGAATTTTCTCTGAATAAGTTATGAAAAAGTACAATCAGATACATTGTGGTTGCTGGCAATATACACCGAAATGAATGTTCATTATTCAAATGTCGATTCCTGAACTGCTAACATCTAATTGGCGATCACTCAATATTTATCGTCAGGATCGATCAAAATATACGAAACGTAAAATTGTTGAAATACCTTGCGCTGAGAATTCTATATTTTATCAAAAATATGATATTGAATAAAGCTAATAGTAATAATAACAATAATTATAATAAGTGAAAGCCTGATGCGTAAATATGTACTAAGTACATGACTTAAATAAAATAGAAAAATAGATCAAAAAGAAATATAAAGCATGGTATTATTACTTATGAAGGATTTAAATTTTAATTACAAGGTTCTCAAATTATTTATTTGCTTTAATAAATGCATTTTCCAAAACATCGTATAAAACGTGCTTACTCATAGCCATACAAAAAAATACAGGTCCCACAATCTGCAGGAAACAGTTAGACTGTTGACAGTTAACAATTCGAACTTCAAGTGTGATTATCCGAAAACAGAGTAAGACTTTCACACATTTAAAAGGCACACCTATTATTTATCAGCGAAGACTATGTTTGGTAAACCGAACGTACTATGACACAACAGTTCAAATTATAAATGAACCTCATTTATAAGTGTCCCTAGATAGAAAAATAAGTACACAATTATATTGCTCATGGCTAATTATCATCTAAATCTTGTACACTAAAATGTTAAGCATCGGTCATAATTAAAGTATTTTATAGTCGAACCCTGAATAAGACCGACATATGCTTGATGACTTGTCAGTTTGTTTATTACGTTCTAAAAATAACATTTTTTAAAACAACTTCCTATTCCTGTGGGACAAGACACACAAAACGCTTGCTTTCAACGAGGATACGAGAAAGATGAGAGGGAAGCGATTAGGAATTCTATCTTCCAACATTAAATCAGCACTTATCACTTAACGAAACTGCAGGTCGATTTTATGACCGTTCACAGAATATGTCTAAATACATCGTGATTTCCTTGTATCCAACTTTTTAATACTTATTTTGTTTTTTTTAGCACGAGAAAGCCACTACAGAAATGTTAGCTGATGAATTAAAGGGACGATTTGGTACGACGGATATAAATGTTGATAATAGAAATAATGAATTTAAGACAAAGAATCAGTATGCTGATAATCCACCCGATGGGAATGATGGTAATAATAATAATCAAGCGGATCGAAATGGCAATGTAAGTAGTATTTGTACCATTGTTGAAAACAACCGTATAAAAACTAAACATTTGGCATATACAGTATATCCTGTTCTAAGTGTTTACCAAGTCGATGATGGCAGAATCATCGTAAATTATTTACCACGTTTGGGTTTGCTGTCTTGTTAACTAACTAAACATGACAACTGATAAATAATGTGTTATTTGTTGTCATTTTATCATTTGGTATGTTGTTGTACCTGTGCTTTACATTATATGATTACAGATAAATAACATTGAAACTCACTCTAAGGCACTTTATATTTGAGAACAGTTAGTTTAGTTTAAGTCCTATGTAGACTAATCTACTATAGCACAACTTAGTATATATAAAAAATACAATTACAAATACTGTGGCTACATTTATCTAGAGAACCTATACACCATCAGAATATAATTAATTTAAATCTGAAGTCAAACATTTGGGTTATTCAAGTACTTATGGTAAGTGACTATGAAACTAGATAAATGCAAATAAATTAATAACATTTAGAGAAATCTTGCCAAACTATAACTATACTTGCACTCCGTAACATGTCTTAAAAGAATTTAAATTTACGAAGATGAGTATCTGACAATTCAACATCTATTTTACTATGATTAGTAAACTCAATATGTCACTTTGATATATGATTGTAATATGAAAAGACATAACTGATTATTATCTAACTAGTAGTTAGTATATAAAATGAATGAGGAAATAGTTAATCATTAAGTAGACAATGTATTTTTATCTCTGATTAGAAAATGGATCTTTAGTTCAGTTTAAGGTATATACAATCATATTTCTTTTTTACGCTGACACAGCTTATCACAAATACTTATGTCTTATCATACAAGATATTTGTTAGTAAATTAATAATAATAATTCATAAGTCAAAATAAATCTTATGGTAAGAAGAATATGAATATACATAGTTTAGTTACTTAATAATTACGCAATAAAAAGATACGTTTAGTATTGGTCCATAATGGATCCCAAAAGTTACCATTCATTATTTTTATCGCGACATAACATTTCCTTAGAATATGTGAATTACAAATAAACTTTAACAACACCAGCTCATCAGAAACTCACTTATTTTATACTTGTATAACACTCAACAAGAAATTGTGTGCCATATAAGTTTAGTAATATCAATATAAATTGTCTTGCATTACATGAATAATTCAACAAATGTTCTATATACTATTAGTTTATACATTTTAACGTATTTCCAAAGAATTCAAAATACTTGATGTCGTGAATTTCTTCAATCATCAATAAATTAAATCAATTTTAATTTAATGGTTATGACAAGTTTTAATAAGTCCAACCATCAGTTTGATCAGTACAAATGAAAAGATTTAAAAATTGATGAGCAAAATAAACTGAGAACATTTAGACTGATTTGATCATATTATTATGCAGTCAAATATTCTAAATGCACTGGACGCTGTTCCGTCCAAATTAGGATGGCCTGGTTTAGATCGATTCATGAATTCAACTGCTAAAATTACTACAATCTCCACAAATCCCCATTATTATTTGATTGGCTGTTGAAAACTAAATTTTATTTAAAATACATATTTTAGAGTACGGAGTGTTGTAGTAATCTTTCTAATTTATAGGTGAACATGTATTGATCTCAGTTAGGGAATGACTAAAAGACAAGCAGAATCAAACAATCGTTTCATTCCAGCGGAGAACTTCAAAGAAATCCTCTCTTAGAAGTCCACTAGACATGGAACCCAGAATTTTCAGGTTCTTAACCCGAAAAAAATTTATTTCACTTAATTTATTTTACCTGTTCTAGTTGATATATTCTGTTTCTACTATTTTTTAAAATGAAAATATTATGTCCAGGCAAACAATAATTTTTATGAGCTATTTTTTCAATTCTACATCAAAATTGTAGGATAATACTTATTGATAAGTTAAAATAGTGTAAATTATTTATATTTTGCTATATCTTGCTAAAAAGTGTAAATCTTTCAAGATGAATTCGTCATTTTACTTGAAACGTTTAACTTGTAGAGGCTAGCATCCCCTATATCTGATTCCAATAAATAGTATCCCATTAACTGAGTATTTAATACAGGCTAAATCTCCTAGCAGAATTATAGATTTACTCGAAGTTATTCAAAAAGCCTGAACAACAGTTATAAAGATAGTTTATTTTTAAAGGTTGGTAAAATCTGCAAGCGTACAGGAAGCAAGCACACAGGGAAAGCAGGAGTGTGTGTGTGAGTGTTAATCAAGTATGGATAAATTATTGATTATCTTGGTATTACAACCAATGGGAGGATAGATTAAAAATTGATATGCATATATGTGCTCAATTAGACTCACACAGAAAATTACATAGTCGATCAAGTGTCTAAATTACAGTGAGAAGATAAACAATACAATAGTTAAATGGGCTTACTACGAACTCACTGAACTCTAACAGACGAAAAATATTTATTTAAACAGAAAAAACATTTTATATTTACAAGGAAGTAATACATGATATATATTAATCTCAAACTAGAGTTAAATGATTTACTGTTACATTTGGAAAAATCTAATCATCCTTTTGACTCTCAATTTCTCCTATGCGTATAATGTCAATATTCAAGAAAGTAGTTTAATTAGTGAAATATATGTTTTAATCTGAATGACAGATTATGATGCAACGGGACGAGCATTACAGAAGTAGTAATTCATGAAATTATTTCATGAACCGTTATTATATACATTCCTATTGTATGATTGCAAAACAATTGGATTATTATGTTTTGGTATTCAGTTTACTGAAGCTTCCATTGGACTAATTAACTATAACTAAATGTCTAATTATTACACACCGATTACTAATCAGTTGCTTATTGCTTACGCTTTGTCCTTGCCACTTTCGACTTAATTGTGCATAACTATGATTTTCTATTTTATGATGTAATATAGTCTAATATGTCTGTATAACACTAATTTGTAGTTAGAATAATTGGAATAGAAGCTTAATTGGTGCACTCGCCTTTCGGGATCATGGCTGGAGGATCGATATGAGTTAAGCTTCAGCAACTGAAGGTTGATCGTCTCAATTAGAACATATCATCATTCAATGTTAAGGACAGTAAACTACAGAGGAAGTTACATACTCGTAGTAGGAAAATTATAGTCAGAATTCTGATTTGGTCGTCTAGAAAGTGATATTGATTAACGTCTCAGGCAACAGATTTATGTTATGACTGAGGTGTCAATGTTTCCAGATTATCGTTTTGAAAATGAGAATTATTCAGTCATGTAGAAAAGATATCATTTTTAAAAGTCAACTTATGGAAGACATATTAACGTATAAAACATATAATTAATTTTCGTCATGAATATATCAAGCAGTAATATCAATTATCGGTTAGAAAATATAAAGCTTTAGTCCCACTACGGCAATTTTCATTTCTACAAGAAACATTTCTGTAAATATCTTGAAATCGCACATCAGATTACATCATAACCCTAAACAGAATACTGTGAACATGCTATATGTTCTTTTAGAAAATTTCCGAAGTGTACAATGATTACTACAGAATTTAATTTGCTACATTAGTTCTGTTCATAACTGCCTATTTTCTGTTCTGTGGTCTTAGTAATAAATCTTGAAATGTTTTGACTAATTGTTATTGTTATCATTCCATATAAATAAGAGAACATTTATTTCTATTTTCGAACTCTAAGGCATTAAAAATGTGTTATATAGATTTTAGTTACACAGAAAACAACAAGTCCCAAGACAATATAGATAAGTCCAGCTCTCATAGCTAGAATAAGAAAAGGAGTTTATCTCAAGTTCTTTAAACAACTTATCTGAGAATTTTAGTGATTGCCTTAAACTTATTATTCAAGCTAAATAAATAATATTACGTTATCTAAATACTGTACACTAATTGGACATTCATATATGTCTTTCCATATAAGCCTTTTCCTCTAACCATAGTTATATGGTGGAAATTATTACTGTTATTAAGTCAATTTAACCACTGTTCGTTTTAGTCCAATTCATATATTGATAAGAGTATAAATGACGTTTAATGTAATACTATACAGAAACTATTCTTAATTAGATAAATAGCATCTGTTATAAGAAAAACACAATATCTATGCATTTTGAAAACGAGTTGAGCCGTATATTATACACTTGGTGCGTATAAACTTCTGAGCGAAAGTATTTTGCCAAAATTGGATTACCCTATTGTCAAAGCAATAAAGATAGCTGATGTACAGGTTATGGAGAGATGATTTTTGTTTTAAGATGATAATCACCAAACACTGACTTCGATTCAGATATGTCTGGAGTAAAATAGTTATCCCCAGCTTAACCGATGATCGTTGCGTTAATATGAAGAAATGACTGAAGTAAAAAATGTGTCACCCCAGTGGGCCAAGAATTTCTGAGAGACGCGAAAGTCCTGAATTCGACCCTTGATAAGTTAGTGAGCGAGCACTTCTCTCTAGTGCTCCCCAGTTTGCAGTAGTGTCTGAAGTAACATCGATCCGGGAAGAATAATACCTACAAAGTAAAAAAATGAATTCAAAAGTTAATTGGTTTGTTTTAATTGTAAATTTATGTTTTTCAACATAATCAGTAATACAGGATCATATACTTGGTTCCTTATTTCACACACTTTAAAACTTTATGATGATCAAGGTATGGAATTTAATTGGCAATCAACGATGAGTTGCTAAGTATTGTTTAATGTACAAAAGTATAAGTAAACAATCCAAATTCCAATGGTAAAATGCATTACTTACTTTAAGTTTTATTCAATAGCATTTAATCAGCGTAAGTAACTATGGGACGTGTTCTAAGACACCTATCGCATACTGAGTAAGTAAGCAGGTAATATGATTATAAAACGTGGTGTTATGTTTCCTTTTATTTAATGGACTTCATAATTGCCTATTAGTTACTAGGATAAAACGGTCATCCAGTGCATCCAAGTTTTCAATGATGGTTTAACGATGATCGGTTCATGATTTCAATGAAATTTTTAGCCAATTTTAATTTACAGTGTAACTCTACCAAAGAATGAAATAAAGACTGAGTTATTCACCTAATTAATAAAATAATACCAACTTTATTTCCACTATTTTATTTGTTAGTTTTCTTTTCTTTTTTCCCTAGCTTACATTACATGATTTACTGGTATGAATGTTGAGTATTATTGTAAATTTGTTATTTTTCCCCATCTACCGCTCATTATTCAAACCAATTCTTGAAGTAGTTATGTTATAGCATGGTTTAGATTTTGTTTTGTTTGTCATTTGTAACCAGTTAAGTTAATGAGCTGAATAAAACGATTGTAATTAATTGCATGAATTGCATAAAACATCTGATGGAATGTCAAAAGAAAAGTGGAATTATCTGCATGATTCTTGTGATTTTACATTTTTGTGTATATTTTGTAAATTCAAGAACAGTTCTTATAAAAATGGGATCAATTGAGTATCCATGTAAAATGAATAGCATACTGTAGCATATTTATTTAAAAGCAAAGTTAATCAATCATTCACGTTTAAAATGAATTCATAAATTCGTGTTCTAGTTTACACTGACTGGTCTACTGAATAATCCTGGAAACCAACCTAATGATTTTTTGTAGACACAGTGATTTCATTGATCACTAGTATATTTATGCAAACTATAACTTGTGATCCATGTGATAATACCGATGCGTAAATATTCCATTTGAAGCGTTTTCATCAACAGACATTCAAAATTAAATAAGAGAAATAATTAGATGCTATGTAGGAATTTTTATTATTTGTCAATCAATAAAATAAGTTCTGATTATTTGTTATAAATTATAACTGTTTATGTTAAGAAAGTTCATAATATAAACTAAACAGAAGAAAATAATTTGTCATAGATTATGTTTAACCAATCTTGTAATTATATGCAGAAATAGATGGTGGCTAGAAGTGGAATCTAGGACGTACATTTCGTTCTATTTGTGACCTGTCAGTTGGATAACAACCAGTACAAATGAATAAATCTTATAATTGTATGCAATGGAAAGACTACAATCTAAGCTAACATAGCAATTATAGGATTACGCTTTTAAAAAATGTTTACATAATATTTATCTTTTATACGACGACTTGAACCCATGAACTATAAATTGCCTTATTATGAGTGAATCTTATATTCCTGGGAAATAAGCATTAGTTGTTTTACAATATTCGTATTAATGATGAAGATAGTTTCCAATTATAACATAAATTTGTGTTTAGATTTGACAGGAAATAGTCGTACACAAGAATTATTTCGATATTAGGTAACGAAACCAAAAATATTGAAACGTTTTAAAGTTACTTATAACCACTTCCCTTTGTTTAACGAACGTATTTGGTTGAAATATAACCACAGTTCTGAGTTATGTTGTTATTTGTAAACTTAGTTTCACCTAGAATATTCATTCGTTTCTTTACATAAATGTCTACGGATATTATGAGAGTTTTTAAAAAAGTCAATTACGACAGTGTGGTAATAAAACACTTCATATTATATAATTTTAAATTGTTTGAGGAAATTTATGTGCTTCTGACCAACAAAGCGTATTCGTAATCTTATTTAAATACAATGTTTAAAAGCATTTTACTTACAGTGTTAGCATTATTGCAAAGATATATGGAAAAAAGAAACATATGGGATGACGGTGGTTTATTCGAATTGATAGTTGAAAAGATGTGTACAATTGTGACTATAGTTTTCATTGCAAACAACTATCAGCTGCATTCAAATCGCCCTAACGATCGCTTCATGAAATGAGGCACTGCATTCACAACAAAGTTTGATCATTATTGAATCACACCAGTGTGGTCATGATGTCCTAATAGGAAAACCAAATATCCCTGTTTAATATCTTTTCCTCAAATATACTACTATTCGACTAGTTGTATTGTTAGCAAGGAGACACTAATAGATATTTGGACACTTTTATTTTAAGATGTTCTGTAGATATATCTTGTGATCTAACTTTATCTTCGAAAGCCTTTCCTAATATCATAGATTACATATACGGACTTGAGTGCAACGTCTTATTCATTGTAAGTTATCAAAAATATCCGGTTTTAGGAATATCAGGAATATTGGTTGAATACAATGAAGTACTAATATTCTGAAGTGGGAAAATATCAAGTCGTATATATGAATACCTAAAGATCAAATAACTGAATTAAAATGCATGAATGGTTCGTTTATGTTTCATACTTTCACTACTGAGATATTTCTACCCTCTTGATTATTATGAAATGTTGGATAAAGATCGTTTAATGTATATTGTGTACAGTCATAAGCTTCCAACTTTTAGCAATCTTACAGATACTGTATATTTAAACTCATATACGAATCTAGGAATTATTTCACTGTATAATTGAAAAAACCAAATCCATCAGAGAAGTTTCACGTTCTTTTTTTTACTAGTATTGTCATAGTCTCTTAATCATACCAGTGAGGGATTTTGAACATAAACTTAGGCAAAATGTTCATTTATTATTAACAGCGTTATTAGTGTTCTTGCCTAATTTAATAAATATTTTGTCATCGCTTACAAAATGATCAGCACAAATGTACATGTTACTCCTCCACCATACGAACTGTCAAAATGATCAATTAAAAAGCTTATGTAGATCAAACATGAAACTCTCTGCTGAAAACTCATTGATGAGATACCACAACATACATACTATATATGTGACATTTATTCAGAATTTAAACGGAGAAACTTTAATTTAGCTATATGTAAATATCATTTTTCCTCGTGTGATGGACAACAAAATCTGAACTATTTTCATTTATATACGAGGTTCTTAATGATTTGCGGATGATACCACGATTACATCAACCAATCATTACAAAAATCATGAATAAATTCAACAAACCTCCGTTTCAGTATTTACGAATCCATATTAAACCACTCTGTTTACTTTTATTCAAACTATATACTTAAGCATTAGATTAGCATCCCCTATTCTATATTCTCTGTTTACTATACTGATATTTTGCGATCACATATTTATATAAATTATATATTCCAAGCCCGTATTATGTTCACTTATAACTCTCGTGCTTTCAACAGCAACATCACACATATACATACACTTATCTTTTATTTATTTGACCTCATAATTTTACTGACCACTCATCTTGTACTCATCAAAAACAGGGTCAATAGTTAGTCCACTATTTACTTTGTAACATTTCACAAGTCGGATGTTATCGATTCATATAGTCATAAAACTGATTCAATCAAATCTTTTATACATATTTATAAATTTACAGTTATACAGCTAGAATAGAAAGTCATTTAAAACGATTGTTAACATAAATATTCATAGCTGCAACATCATTAATCATTTTAGAGAAACCATCTAGGTAAATCATAACGGTACAATAAATACTTAAATATCGCTGAATTTAGTTAGATTTGTTATGAAATAGTGTAAATTTTTTTACACGTACATTTTTACAAAATAATGTACCAAAGAAGATCAGATAAACAGGCAGATATCTCGAAACCCAGATGAGTTTAAGAAAAGACAAAATAAACGTTCATTGAACAAAAACAACATCAAAATGTTGTAGGCCATGTTACAGCAGCTTAATGTTCAGTATGAAGTTACTTTTTTGTTGTTTGTGCTCAGTCATGATGAATGTAGTAGTTTCTAGGCTGCTTCTTAGTAATGGATGAATATAGAATAATTTTTAGACAACTATCAAGCTAAATACTTTGATACATATTTGTATTTATTACCAAGTGTCAACTGTTTGATTCGTGGTTTGGTTAAAATGATAATGCAGGTTACGTTACGTATGCTAAAAGTGGTTCTGTGTTTCAAAACACGTTCGATTCTTCGCATATATTTTCCTTAGGATTCCAGGTTCACCTTACTGATGGGTGTTAACTAGCTTGGGACCACGACTTCATCATTCCATTAAACGAACAAAGTACATGAAATTCAGATTTTGAGCTTTAGTAGATGACTGTGACTATCGGACAGCATACTTCATATGGTGAGAAACTGAGTTAAATAGCTCACTAGAAATTTATAAGCAAAGATGGACAGTGGCTAGCAGTGGAACCCAGGACGCGCGTTTTGTCCCATTTGGACTCGTCAGCTGGGCCCTAATAGCCACTAGCTTATGCAATAGGACTGAGTAGCTAGGCGGATAACGTGATGGCGTTTAAAATAAACGGTTCTGAGTTGGAATACCGGAGTGAATGTCAACTCGGATGAAGTTACACACAGCTGAAGAGCCCCAAATAGAACGAAATGTGCGTCCTGGATTCCCCTGCTAGTCACTATCCATCCCTGCTTATAATTTTTGTGACTTAAAAGCGGTATCCAGGCAGACTTAAGAAGACCACACTTAGTTTGGAAATTGGTTTCTCTGTGATTTACGAGCAAATAAGACAGCCTAATTTATACCATCTTAGTGTTTAGCATATAAAACTACTTCTTAATTTGAATTAACCATTAATAACTCATATGTGTGCCTACTTTTCTTCTTATCATTAAAAGCATTCATCAGAGCCCTCTGCTCTTGCTTCTTTGGGCAATTTCAACTGCAGAACTACAACAGTTACTACTCAAATGAATATGGATATTTATCAAAACCCACCAATTAGCTATACGCAAAACTTTCCAACAACTTACACACTAACGCCGCATCCATCCTATTTAGGATATGATACACGACTGCGTGCACCAGTAATGAATCCTATGGCTATCCGACAACCGGGACAATCAAAATTATATAATCAAGGAGTGTTTATCCCTAATCCCAGGTATACTAGTGATCATAATGTAATTTTTTCAACTGGAACTGCTCAACTACCAACTTTATCAAATTTTCACGATGTGGACTATAATATGCGGTAAGTTTATTTTAAAGAAGTAAATAAATAATTGTCATTACTTTTATTGATCGAAGAAAATAAAATGATTCTAAATTTTTAATGTATTTTGAAGAGTTAAAATTACAATGAGTTACTTAATATTACTATTCTTTTTCTTGATTTATTTACTCATCTTAAAAGGAAACGTGCACAAAATGATCTTTCTATGACTACATACGATAGCACAGTCACAACCACAACAATAACTGGCACACGAGATGATTTAGGAAATACAGAGTATTCAGATAGTAGTCAAAGGGAAAATGAACGTAAACGATCTATTTTCGGGACATTGGGTCGTATGTTCAAGAGACCAAATCCTGTAAATGTAACAAACTCACAGAATCAAATGGAAAGTACAGTGAAATCAGTAGTTTCAAACAATCAACAACCTTCATTAAGATTTCATTCTAATCCATTAACTCATCCATCCCGTCATTATCATGTGTATAATATTCCTCAATCAACCTCAGTTCATAGATCAGACGAAAGAAATAGACTAACTAATGTTGTATACTCTTCACAAGATTCAGGATTTTCGAATATGGCACATTTCAATCGTTCAGTTTATCCAAACAATTTTTCTCAATATCATGTACAAGAAGGAACATCGAGGTACAGTCCGAGACCTCCATCACACCATAGTTATTTTGGCAAAGCGAAACCTGGTATTTATTCTGCAGATGTAGGTACTAACCAAGAACAAAGTGCAATTCAGCAGTCAGTTTTATCACATACGATGAACTCTCAAGGTAACTGTTTTGTGTAATTGCTATAATTTTGATGTATCACTAAATGGCGTAAAGTTCTACAAATCACGTTCAAATTGTCATACTTCCTGATTTCCACTGCTTGCTTAGTTAAAGTCTTTTGGATAGAGGAAGGGAGTGGAATCAAGAATATGCTCTTCAGACTACTTCATGCTAGTTGGTTGGATGTTTACACTGAGATTTGAACTATGCACTCATGGCTTTAAACACCAGCAACAATAAAATATGAATTTATTCATTCAGTTACTAGTCATCATTTGAAATATAATTAACTTGTGACTGCAAGTATCGAAAATTTATCTGTCAACAGAGACTGTTCAACTATTCACAACGTGGAGGTACACAACAATACATTATGAAATAACTTTTGGTTTACTTTGTGGTACATTTACAAACCAAATAGTTATTGGATTTGAGAGGTTTGTTTATATGAAAAATAGTTCGTAGACAATACATCGTTTACCATGATTGAGTAAACCATTTGGTATTTACTTAAACTTTTGTAACTTAAAGTTTTTCTTAAAATAATTTCCCTATTTTTAAAACCCCTATTAAATGTTAATAAAGTTCAAAGAATAATCAAGTTTAGTGACATTTCTCGTCATGGACCGAATATAGACATTATTGACATAGTTAGGAATCAGTTAATGTAAAACCAATAAAGTTTTCAATTTAGTAGTCACTTACATTTTAATTATGAAGTCTGTCAATCAATAATTATATTTGAATCATGTGCGAAAAGATTGTAGTGTCAGTTATTATGCCAAGCCCATATACCTTATTCTAGCTTCCGAACATCCCATTTTATTCATTCTACACGAGCCATACTTTGACCCTGTAAATTATTCGCTTATCAATCTAGACTGTTTTTATATGAGCATATATGTGTGCCCTTCTTATCCCATTAATCACATGTCTGCAGCTTTATTTCGTCTGACTATAAATATTGAGTAAAGCTTGACAAAGATGCAGTTGGCTTTCCAGCCATCTTCCCTCCGTGTCATTTTGCTTTGCTATGTTTCATTCGTTTCATGTACGAAATATATGTATTCTCATGTCAATTCTCGTTATTCGACATATTTAATTCCGTTATTGGATAACGCGATGTAAGTCGACGATGATATACGAGAATCAGCGATAGCAAACATCCATACAATCTAAATGGAGTCAGATCAATGGGCCACTAAAAGTTCAATTACAAACATTGGATTTTACAGTTTGAAATCATCAGTCAGTTGAAGCTAGACCACCATTGAAAACCTGGAAGCACTGGACGGCCGTTCCGTCCTGGTATGGGACTCCTCAGCAGTGCGCATCCACGATCCCGCACCACGCGGGGCTCGAACCCAGGACCTAATGGCTTCGCGCGCGAGCACTTAACCACTAGACCACTGAGCCGGCATCCAACGGTGTTAATGTCTAACTTCAACCAATCCACGAAGTTGCGCCACCGTACACCATTGTCTTCAGTGAGTTGTTATCTCACAACAGACCGGTTGAACTCCACTGGTAACGGCTTCTCACTAGAACTTCAGGAGTTTTTCCTGAAGTCAGTCACTAGTGAGCAGTGCGCTGAGGAGTCCCATACCAGGACGAAACGGCCGTCCAGTGCTTCCAGGTTTTCAATGGTGGTCTAGCTTCAACTGACTCATGATTTCAAACTGTGAAATTTCTAAAATTCTCCACAAAACCCATTCTGATAAAACATTGGATTCTTTAAAAAAAGTTGTATAAATCTTAGTTCTTCACACTTCAACTATCAGTTACTCATAGTGTATATTTAACTGTGATCCAGAATCAATAAAAATAACTAAACGATAACCCTGAAAAAACAGTTTCCTTAATAAGTAATATATAGTATAATCAGAGTAATATATTACAAGTCACATTTATATTAAATATCTAGGTTACTTAATAAGAAAACTAACTCTTACACAAATTGAAGTATATTAATATTTTAAATATTCTTTGAGAGTAAAAATATTTTTATAGCCAACATGTTTATCAAATGTTATCCATTAAAACAGTATGTCCGTTTTTTTTAACATTTTATTCTATCACTAAGCTGCTCTTGGACCGAAACAAACTCTTGAGGATAGACAGAAATCTCAGTAAGTAAACTTATATATATATAGGTTTATGTGTTAATGAGTGTAAACAACCTTTTGTTCAGTTTTCTGGTTTCCTAATTGTGTTACAATGATTTTTAATCATTTTTATTAAAGAATTTCCACTTGAAAACCAGTAAAACATGATGTTAAGACATTTTATTTTGAACTAATGAAGTTTTGTTTTGAGTGTACTTTGTTGGATTAAAAATAATTGGATTATATTCAGCAATTAGAACAATGTTGACAAGTAGTTAGAAAAACGTTTCCATATAATTTATGTATCATGTTTTAAATACATACTGAGGAAATGATTTTCAGAAAGTTATAACTTATGACTTTCAAGTAAATTCTATTTGAAAACATTTGAAGGTTAGTCTGTGACAGTAATATGAAGTTCTTAAAATGAAAATTTACTGCTCTGCTACATTTTGGAAGTTGATGATACACAGTACATACATACGTGCTATACGCATAAAACTACGGATAAATATATACGATGAAAACATAAAGAAGCAAAGAATTTAAGCACATAGTATAAAGACATTTTGAAAGCATTCACAATAACATTGTGCTTTAAAGCTGCATGATACAAGCCTTATGTAGAAACATAATGTTAATGAAACTGATCTATGCCAAAAATTGTATTGTATGATCATTTTTTTAAAATTCGTCATCAAGAACTTGACATTTTATTTCATCGAAACGTTTGAGTATACCTACTAACTTGTTTGAAAACTGCCTTTCTAATAGAACAAGGTTATGTGAGTTAAGAATGTAACTATGAAATAATTTTTCTTTACGTTCTACAGTTAGTTATATACATATGAAATAAATGAACTCAAAAACGTTATTTCCGATAACCGTTGGAAAAAACACTTTCAAAATGTTGTTAACTTGTAGTTGTTAGGACCTTGAATTAATCATACTTGCCATTTGCATGGTGTTTACAAAAATAGTCTCTTTTTTCAATTAAACGTTTTTTACTTGAAATATTGAACTATCCTTTATTTTACATGCTTTTCACTTATGTTATTAAGTTAATTATACTCATTATTAATTGACTTACCTTTTTGAATTAATATTATCAGCGTTTTATAGTTTACTTTCTGATAATGATTTACCTAAATATAGTTGATTCTATTTCCTGGTCATTAAGCACATCATTTTGTACAAATAAAACCGCAAACACCCGAACTTAGTATCTTCAGGTTTTTGATGAAGACTATCATTTGTCAATTGACTTTTTATCGTTTCCCATATGATTTCAATTCTAATATTGAACTATTCAATTAAACAGTCATATAAACTGCTTTTTTGAGTTAGCTGAAAAGATATTTGTACGTTTTTATTACTTTGAAAATCGATTCACTGAATATAGATTCCATTTGCTGAGTTAATACTTCTGTTTTATTTTATGTGTTTTGAATAAACTGTACTTTCTTGACATTTTTTTTTGATTATTTTAAATGTTCTGAATAGAAAATTGTTACTTGAAGATACTATACGCAGTAATTTACCATTTACTTCATGGAGTAGTCCCATATTAGTTGCATGGTTAAAAGTAAGTAAATATTCTAATATGAAACATAATATATGTGACAAGCATATTAATTTATTAGAGTGTTTTGTTGAAAGTTCCGAAGATGATTTTTAGCATAAACTGACGTCTTTTAGATAGTTATTAGGAGTTAGAAAGTATTCAATATCGTTCTGTTTACAGAATCATATGATTAAATACTTAATTATGATATTACCAAAATATGTTTCTCTGTTTAACGTTATTTCAGTAGAGATTTAAAATTATTGAGAAAATATTTCCGAAACTAATAAACATTTAGTTGGGATAAGAAACGTATTTCTAAATACAAACATGTTTGAAAACTATTTATTTCACTATCCACTATAATCAAAATTGCAATACCTGTATAATATCATGTAAGACATAATTATCAACTGTGATTTCAGTGTATGACATACGGATACACATTTGAATCCGCTTAATTCTTACGATCGTAAATACTTACAGCATATATATGCTTTAATATTTTTAATTTATTGATAGTCATTTTTTACGGAATCTCCTCATCTTTTAAAAATCCATCTCACCTTTAAATCTACATTACTATCAGAAAAGTCTATGTTAATAGAATAAGGTTAAGCGTCTGTACAATAGACTCACAAAATGAGTAAAAAAATAATGCGATTGATTAAAATGTTTAAGTTATTTGATACTTTCCAATGACAAATATTATCTTACATATAACATTCCGTTCAATTATCTAACTGTGACTTGGTTGTATTTCTTCATTGAATTTATCTAACCTTTGATGAATTATTTAAATAATTAAATTTCTAATATTAATGATGAAATCGTAAAAATATTTTCTTGAATTTACACAAATAATATCTTCTACAACTGTTTAGGTTTCTTTTAGTATTGAAATAAACCATATGAACATTATTCAGTTATCCTCATATTGAATAAGAAAAAGAGAATTCAACGAAGAAAAAAATTTTCATTTCGACGAAATCATTTCCTTAAGCTGGACATTCGTATATATAGTTATCTGGAAAATATATATGTATAGGAGGATAGAAAAGATTGCATCACAAAAGTGGATTCGAGACTAAATAAATCTGACCCATAAATTATTTTCTTCTTTACCCATTGGTTAGTACGTAACCTCATTTGTTATTTAGTCTTGAATCCATTTTTGTGATGTATTCTTTTATATCCTCCTATAAACATATATTTTCCATATAACAATATATACGAATGTACAGGTCAAGTAAATGATTTCGTAGGAAGGAGAATCTTCTTCTTGTTATGTCCTTAGATTGTCTACCCACTTTTGGTGCTGATGATACTTATCTAATCCAGATTAAGACCTTCGCGCGATAGGCTGACCGACCTAACACTGAGGCCAGTACACGTGAGTTCGAAGTGGGGTAGAGAGGAGAAAACTATTCTATCAATGATTGGCTGACAAGCACGCGAATGAGAGAAGACAAGACAACTGGAGCACTACTCAATCTATTCCCGATAACCTGATTGTCTCTTCGGATTAGTGTAAAAAAAAGGTACATGAATAAATAGGTGACTAACCCGACCACAACGTACAATAATTAGGAAAAACACAATTATCTCCAAAGCCAGGAATTAGCGTAGAAAATAGTGCAAAACATTATGTTTAAATTACAATAGCTTCGGATCAGAAGGGTTATGACAATGAATCATATATCAAACGAAAGCTTATGTTCTGTAGAATAGATTAGGGACAAAAATAAATGTTAGTGTTTTACAGGCTTTGCATAAAATGAATTAATGTCCCGAAAAATAGCTTTTCGTAGTTTTTCAGAGCTTCTTGTTTCCCTGTTCACATCACTTCTTCACTGAATTCTCTTTTTCTTTTATTCAGTGAAACTATGGGTTATTTTAATTATCCTCATATTATTTATTGACAACGTAAAAGTATCCAAATAATAAATAAGTAAATAACAAGATGATTAATGACAACAAAAAAGTAATTGATTAATTTGATTTTGCAATATTCAATTATTCATTTATATATAGGTAATATCTAGATTACAATGTAAATAGAATTCTTTATCAGTTGCTGACATCTCTTTTAATTTAGTTACACTAATTAATATTGAATAGAAGGCTTTGCTAATTATTGATTTATGTTATTATTATTATTATTATTATTATTATTATTATTATTATTATTGTGAATGAAATAACTTTCTTAATGAAGAAATAAATTTCAAAACTTAATTGTTTTAATTTTAATTTATTTATCAAGACATTAAGTTGAAGCATGAATTAAAAAGTTATTCTTTTATCTTTTTTAAAAGATGTAGGTAAATTGATGAAGTAATCGACTATTCTAGTTTGTTTTAAAAGAAAAGAAAATTATGGATACTTTAATTCATAAAGAAAATATTCAGGTTGAGAAACTTACGTAATATTCCATTTAAGAAAGATGAATTAAAATGATCTGTTAGACTATAGATTTTTATAATAAATTGATAGATTGTTTGAATCAATGTGTAATGTGTGGCTGAGTGACAGTTATTCATAAAAACTGAATTATCATATTCGATTCGTTCAGTGAGATAAAAGAAAAAATACAAAGTTCACTGTTCACTGTTTATAAATGAACTCATGTACAACTTAATAGAACAATATAAACATGATTGAACTTTATTTAGTGATGTGATGAAAATATTCGAATGGTATTGAACATATTGAACATTAGTCTGTCATTCATTTTAACCTTTTAAATATTCTTCTTCTCCTTCTTCTTATTATTATTAATAATATTAATTAATGCTGATTTGAAGAAGAAAAATATTTAGTCATCTATTATTTCATAGTAACATACAAACAAATGAGTCCTTCTTCAGTATTCATGCTATCTAAACCCTATAATTAAAAGTTTCAAGATCCAGATTAATAAATTATAGAACGAGTAGAAAGGAAATAAGCGATTTCTTTTATTTATTTATTTTTATGGATCATTGATTTCTATTAAATTTTTCGCATAGATTTTTTAGATAAGTATAACAAAATTAAACTATTTATTACTTATTAATATAGCTATGGGTTGGAATGCCAGCATGGTATGTTGCAGCTTGTGAAGCAAATATTAAATCTGGTGCAATGCTTGCCTCTTTATCTGAACAAGATATTCAAAGAGAGTTAGGTATACGTAATCCTTTACATCGTCTAAAGCTTCGTTTAGCTGTACATGAAATGCTTGCATTTACTGCATCATTAACAGGTACAACGACGAATCCAATTAAAAATGGTGAAACATCTACCTCTATGAAACAATTACACTTGGCTTCCCCACTTATAAAGGTAAATATTTTATACTAATTGATAGTTATTTAATTATTTGAAAGTAATTATAATAATGAATCGATATTATTTGAATTATTATTATTATTATCGAAATCCTAGTAACAATTAGAAATTCTCAAACATTTCTTTAGTGCATCTACTTACTAAGAAAAGCTGCCGTTACTATTTAAATTTAGTGTTCTTTAGTTGATATTCTACATGTAACATTGAAATTAATCTCTTAAAATGAGATGAAAAGATGCTATGAAATAGTTTCTAAATATCTTATTTGCTTTCATTTCACATTAATTAGTTGTTCATAATGTAAATTTAATTATTTTATTTCATTGTGACACAACAAACAACATCAATATAAATTTAAAACAAGGTGTGAATTATCTGTACATCCATAAAATGAAGTTAATAAATTGTGAAATATTCATGTGATGTCTTTGAAATAAACGGTTGATAATCTTGCATTAGCTTACGGTCGAATTAAAATTCCAGTATAAAGGTTTGTGGGGATTACTGAACATTATTAATATCAAAGACTAACTTAGGTTAAACAATCAATGAAAAGCATAAATAATAAGACAGTTTTTTTTGCACCAATATGAGACTTCTTAGTAGTGATAATACGTGGCTCAATGAGAGACTGAACACAGAACTTTCAATTTCTGTGGAAAGCCGTTAACCTTTAAACCACAAATCAACCATCCAATGGTGTACATACATAGGTTCAGTTAATAACATTCAGTGATCCCATAAAAACTCCATGCTGATAAACATCGTGAGTTCGTTAGTAACTAATTTCGAGACGTACCTCCCGAGATTCTAACGCGAAGCCGTGATCAGTGGAGGTAAACGGTATCACGTATTACACAACTACCCACCAAAGACAATGGAAGATGATTGATCAATATAGAGGGTTGACCTGTTCATATTATGATGTGGTATCTATTTATCTTATGAAAAAATACAAAGCCACAACAATCCTGTGAAGACCATTGTTAATAATCAGAAGATGAAGTCATATGTGATACAATACGTGATACGAGTCTGTATCGATTTGTATGTACATCAAAACAATTAAAGTTGCTTACTGAATACTGCTTTATGTACTTTGCTTGGAGTGATACAATTTTTGAAGGACCTGGTATTATGCGTAGTCCTTCGGAAACCGAAATCAGTGAGTCAGGTTCGAACCTATGACTATTTGTTCGAAAACTGAATATCATCACTCCAGTGATAATTGATAAAACGAGTTAGATTCAGACGAAAAACGTTAGGAAATCAAAACTTCCAGTTATAAAATAAGTAATGATAATTGCTTGTTTGTGATACCTGATTACTGTATCTTTAAACTTCAGACAGAAATGTAAGTTACTTTTGGTTAGAGACCAGTTGTCGTCCACTTATGACGTTTTGTTATAAAACAGGTAAAATTTAAGGCTCTTTATAGACCTTTCGTAGTCATATTTTAATACATAGTTTACAATAGTATAATTAACATTAAAATAGTTGTGTTTTACATCCTTTATTCGCATTCAACTCCTCACCAATAAACAATTTTTCATACCTCTACCCTTCGAACTCCTCAAACCTATCTCCCAATGATTTAAACAACTTTAAAAATGGTTTAATAGGTTACTATGGTTTTATGATGAACATAAAAGCCAATAATTTGTGAGTGATTACCTTTTTAGTGAAGAGAAAATTCTAGTAATCATACTCTCTCATTCAGACTCAAGTTCGAATTTGATTACAATCAGAGTTAACTTGTTTATCAGCATGCTGTATTTTCATCCGTTTGAGGAGAAAGTGTGCGTCCAGACATAATGAGCACATATCCTTGTTGACGATTGGACGAACCACCGTTTTATTAATTTTTATAGTCATACCCTCAAAATTTGTCGTAAGAGATAAAAAAACAGATAGCTGCTATCGCTTTAATGTCAGCCAATTGCATTGGTTCAGAAGTATTTAGACTTACCATTCATATTTATTATAGAACAACAAGTCCGTAATGCCCTAGTCCTTACACAAACCCTCACCTTATCGATGTAATTTTGGATAAATATTACTAACTTTGGAAAAAGCTCTGATCACATTTCACATCCTTCAGTTAAAATAATGTGATGGATAACGTGATGGTTATTTGGTATGAGTTAATCATCAGTTATCATTAGAAATTTTGATTTCGATTAGATCAGGTTCAAAATTTACAATTATCAAACCACATTTATGAAACTGAAACTCTTAACGTCATCCAGATTAATAGGAAAGTATTTCCTTATGGTATTTTTTATTTAGAGAAAAACACAAATTACCGGATTCTCTCAAAGTTCTAATCCGTATCTCGAACAAATAAACGAATAATTAGTTGTTTTTCTGTTTCAAAGAACGAGTCAAGATTCTTCACATCTATTTCAAGCAGTCCAATAGTTAGTTTTAGCCTTGATAGAACAAATTTATTTCTTCCTCAATGCTTATTGTCTTTTCAATAGGAAATAGTATAAAGATCGCGTTATTTTAAATTTCATTGGTTGATTCTTTACAACCAATTGAAATTAGATAGAGAATTGTCATTTTGAGTACACAAATACAAATGAAAAGTAGGTGGTTAAGTGATACAGATTTACCATTCAATCATACATAATATGATAAGAGTGCATTTCTAACATGTTCAGCTAGGTTTTCTGATTTATTTATTTCTTTCTTTCCTGAATGTCTAATACAACATCTATGTCTCAAAACGTTCCTAACATACACTACTATTATTCTTATTAGTATAAATCCATGCACTAGTTTCTTGACTGTTTGAAAGGATTATTACTATTGATTCATAATCTTTAGTGATTCAAAAATTTTCAATGATACAGTTCTTTGATAAATTGGGATGTAAACATTTTCTTCACTGGATAATATAATTTTTTTTTCAGAAGTGAAATTTATTTTTCGCACATCTTGACATTTCTTGTCCCAATTGTCGATAGTTTTGTATATTTAACAACGATTAGAATATATAACATTTCTTCACATGATATGAATAAAGATAAAATTTAACATCATTTATGATTCTAGATAGTTTTAACTTCAGTTTGTTAATAGCTCATGATTTAAAGATCGATTTACTTTAAAAAAGAAATACTAAATACAATTAGTCTATATTGAAATTGTTTAAACATACAATGGTTAAATACTAAATCAAAGAAACTAATATTCAGTTTTCATAATAACCCTTTATGATGATACTGGAGAGTTGTCACAGTGTATCCACTCAATTGCTGAAATCAACTGTCGTTAAAACATTTCAACTAGATAATTAAAAAATTCATTCGAAAATTTGTTTAATTTCATATAATAGTAAATGAAAGTGAACAACCTGTGAAATGTCTTAAACTCTCCACAAAACCCATTCTGAAAGTGAACAAATTATCATCTCTCATGAATTCTTCACATATTAAGTATCTGAAGAATAGTAATCTTTTGTCGATATAGGTTTTTGTTACTAAATAAGTAAAATATAAGTCAACTATTGGTCATTCTGAATTTCTTCGAATACACTCGTAAAATTTCGGATAAAGGAACGTGATTGAGCTATTAATGTATTAAAATGACATATGTTACTTAAACAACATTTATTAGAGCGTAGTCGATAATGAAAAATCAAGTTTCCTGGATCAATTGACATACCAGCGTATATATATATATCACAATTCCAAGGCAGTGTGATCTAAACAGATTGCTTGTTTGGTTACCCCTTAGCCTCAAATTTTATGACATTCATTTAAACACACATTCAATTTCTGTCACATAACAAGCTACATTTTCTACTTTCTATGGGTAAATAACCTAAAATTTTACAATTCCCTCTGTCTATTTTTAAAAGGAAGAAAGCGTCTTATTTTCAAATTGAATAATTATTTCTAAATTAGTAAACTGTTTGAATAATTTGTCTGGAAAGTAAGTGGCTTTTTTATGAATTAATTAAGTTGTGAATCAATTTATTAATTCACTTCGATGTGTTTGCATTCCTGTAAATGATACAAAGACGTATACACTATTTAATTCAAACATAATTTATACATTAATTATTAATGTAACTCCTTAAAATAAAATCTTAAAATATATTGCTAAATTTTACGCTTTAATGTTAACCCCATTATTTAAAATGAAAGATTCAGTAACGAATGTCTTATTATTATTAAGTTATAGTTTATCACTTTTATACATTGAACTGTGATTAGATTTATTTTACAATAATCTATTATCTTTACTATGTACGTTGGAAAAGATTTTTCTCCTAAGTCTCGTCAAATATCACGTGACTAAATTGTCAACTTATATAACCTTGGCCTTGTGCTAAACCACTGACGAGTTAACCACTATGAGCAGCCTGTAGTCAACTCTGAGTCCTTATTAGTTCTTCTTGCTTTACGCTGCTTTTTGAGTTCAGAACACAGTCTCAGCTTCCAATGTATCAATCATGTATTTCAGACACACGCAGTTTATATACAAACAAATCAGACCGTATCATACAAGATTAAGCCAATATTGTTTATGAGTGTGAAACTGTAACTAAAAATTTGGGAATAACTTGAAAATAGTAAATTGTGTGATAGTATTCAGTAGGTCAAATGGAAGTTTATAGTAAAAGGAATATGAATATACATATAATATGGTTACTTAATAGTTATCAAATAGGAATACATGCAATAACAGTCCATAAATAATTCCTAGTAGTCACCATTCATTTATTCTTTGTTAGGATATAACAGAAATTACTTTGTTAATTTTTAATGTTAGTTTTCAAAGAATATGAAATCTTTCTTTTAATTCGTTTTACTCATCACCATTGACTTTATAATTGCTGGTGAATAACATATATTTATGGATAGTTCTATAATTACTAATGAATTATATACTTTGTACGAACGTTCATTGAACAGGTAACAATAACATATTGACATTTAAAAAAAAATTTAAATACTTGTATAGTGACTACACGTTACAATGAATGAGAAACTTCAAATGTATCTATCTCATGAATACCTCAATAAAACCATTTTAAACTGAACTATTCTATGATTTGGACAGTTATAAACTTTAGAAAACATTAGACTGATGAAGTTTATCGTCTTGGAATTATCATGAAAAAGCAGAAATTAAAAATTTAAAAATATAAACTTCTGACTGATTTGTTATTTATTATGATTTCATAACCCTTTGTTTATAATATTAAAAAAAAGATCACTGAACCTGTAATAGTGATTTCACAATTCCATATCGTTGTTTAAAAAAATGATTTTATGGGTAACATTTTGGATTTTATTTGTTTTTTTACAAACGTACCTATGCACATTTATTACATATATTCCTGAGATGTATTGTTATATTACTGTTATAAGGCTGACAGACAATCCAACGACTGTACTACACTTAGAATTCCAACATCGTAAACTTCAATATAAACATCAATTTATAATTCGTCGTAAATGTTTTTCGTGATCTGGATGAAAGTATGGCTTATGTTTATGCACAACAATAATTCTCCGACAACCAATGTTTCTAAATGACACAAAATGTCTAGGCGAATTTCTCTCTGAAAACATTGTAGTCCAAAATAAGTTATGAAATATATTTATGGTCTGAAAATATAAGAAAGCAGATAATTACAAACATTTATCAGATAGTACTAGTTGTCATTGGCAAAACATAACTGCATGAGTACTAATAAGTTCTTTTCTACGATAAAATTAGCTCTTTTATTTTCGAAAACTTAATTTTATGTAACAGGGTGAATTAAATCATGAATGGATTGGGAATGTTTGGCTGCCTAGTCTTGGGTTAACCAGATATAGGTCATCATTTATGGAGTGTCTTGTCGATGCACGTATGTTAAGTCATTTAACTAAGCGGGACTTGAGGGTACATCTAAAGATGGTTGATCAATTTCATCGTTTAAGTTTATACTATGGGATAATGTGTCTCAAGCGCCTGGATTACGACCGTTCTGAGATTGAACGCCGACGTGAAGCATGTCAAAATAGTTTAAACGGTTAGTGATACAAATGTATTCATTTTAAACTTCTAGAATCATTATATCTATTCTTGTTCATATATACATTTCTATGAGTCGAAAAATGTTTTTGTTTATTAAGTTTAACATTTAAATATTTGCGAAATATGTGCATCACATTTTCACTGTATCTGTGTTTGCACAAATCTAGGTTGATGATAAGAACAAATTCCAGATTAAATGTTATTTCTTCACTTTATATACTTAGATGACGTAAGAATGTGAGTATTTTTTAGAACAATAAGTAAATATTCCCTAGGTAACATAGATGTGTTGTTATTTAACCACCAGTTGTGTGAACTACTTTAAGAAACAATCAAGGCAAAAAATAAGCATACCACATTATGTTATGTGTAATACATTGATAATATGGATAAATCATTAATTTTAATTAGAAATTTAGTCAAATATTTCATACAAACAGATCCCTTAATTAACTGTCGCGAGGCAGTTACTCACTGAAGAAATGGTGGACGGCTAAGTCATATCGTGGATTGGTTGAAGTTAGATATTAACACCGTTGGATGCCGGCTCAGCGGTCTAAAGGTTGTGTTCGCCAACGCGACCGAAGGTCCTGGGTTCGAGTCCCGAGTGCGGGACCGTGGATACGCACCGCTTGAGAGTTCTATATAGGGCGAAACGGCCGTTCAGTGATTCCAGGTTCTCCATGGTGGTCTAGCTTTAATCAATTCATAAATTCAACTATTAGAGTAATCATATTAATAACTAATTTCAGGTTTAGTGAAGCTGATTAGAAACCGTGAAAACCTTGTTATTCCTGCTTTATATTTATTTTACTTGACTTTACTTCCTTGCAGCCTAACGTTTCTATGAATGTGTTCAAAAAACCTTGTATAAGCCCTTTTGTTCTTCCTATGTACTTACTACGTCAGGTACCTGTAAATTCATAAATGCGATTGTATGTGACATCGGAATTTTAATGGTCTATCTCCGAATGATATAATCGGCAATTAGTGTTGTATAGTGAAACCAGTTGAGAGGCGAGGAAGTTTACAAGTACCTGATGTAGCAAGTACATATGAAAAACAAAGGGATTATACAAGGTTTTTGAACACATTCATAGGAACGTACGGCTGCAAGGAAGTAAATTCTTTACAAGTTCAATTGTCAGACATCTTTTGGATAGTGGACAAGAAGTAGATTTAAGTAATGGATTCCAAATAATTGCCAGACAAAAAGCACCAATCTTGCTCCTTTTGGTAGAGACGGTTGATATCATACATTTCCGACCTGAAATATGTATACAGAAGGAAAGCTTGATTAGCCTCTCTATGCCTTGGTGATAATTGTAGATATTTGTCTAATTATCCTACACTAAGCCGCAGGGACACAATGCGAATCCGAGCTGAAATGCTAATACGAGCAAGCGGGCAAATACAGAGGCTTAGTTTGAGTAGAGTGAATTATCAAGATTCAAACACATACATGTGGGAAAGCGAATGATTCATCGGTCAATTTAAGCAACTAATATTTAAGCTAGTAAGAGGGATATGTGTTCAGAATGTAGCTCATGATCAGGCATACAGACATAATAATGATAAGACAAAGATAAACATAATTAATACTTTTCGAATGACACTGTCTGTTCAATGAGTTAATTGATGGGCTTGGCAGAATTAAAGGTAAACATACTTGAGTGTAGGTGAGGTGCTTTACCTTTATTCCTCATAGCTATCCTTATAACTTGGAGGTAACAAAAATCAACACAACTCTATTCAGTAATATGCTAATATTTAGTACTATTGTTAGTAAAATATGTCTCAAAAAAGCGCTTATTTTAATTACAGATTTACTTGTCTGGAGTAACGATCGAGTTATTGTATGGCTTAAAAGTATAGGTTTGAATGAATACGCCAAAAATTTGATTGATTCTGGTGTACATGGAGCTTTGATGGTGTTAGATCCAGATTTTGACGCGAATTCATTTGCTCTTATCCTTCAAATACCTAATTCAGATGTACAAATGAGGTTTGTGGTGATGTTTTATTCTAAGTTAATGAAATTTATCTCAGCTAAACAAACCTAAATTAACTGCTTTTATTTAACTCTGCTCGTCAGCCGATAGGAGTTTGTGAACCCGTCAACTAAATAAGTTATATCTATTCGAACGTCAGTTTATCACTCTGAAGCCAAGTAGGAAATTGTATGGATATCTACTCCGTCCACATTGTTATCCATCACATTATCACAATTAAAAGCGAAATGATGTTATAGTAAAGGAATCAAGATACTGATTTGACTAAAGTTTTAAAGCAAAGCATACTATATTTAAATGTACAATATATCTATCCATATTTTTACACCAGGTACTGGTTTGGATCAGACAATCATTAGAATATGGGTAACAATCAAAAGGAATCTCGTCCTAATAAGGGAAGCCTCATCAGTGCCAATACGCCAAACCATCATAGATTGAACTCAGTATCTACAGGCCTCTCAGTAATCTCAAACATTTAGAATACTGTGTTAACATTCATTGGTTCATATCTAAAACTTTAGTTAATTCACAAATATTCAAAGAAAAATCATTTTTCACCATCGGTGATATTGATCTCATTCTAGATATGATGTGACTCTACGAGACTCAGTATTCTACACAACCTCTCATACTAAAAGATCATATCCTGACTTGTTTGGGAAGCTAATTTATATTTTTAGTGAGGAGCCCTGATTAGTAGAGTTTAAACGTAACAGGGAGAGACCAGATTTGTCAACAAGAAAGTGTTTCATAAAAAATCATAGTGAACTAGAATTATAAATCGTAAAAAGTTGATAGCTGTACCATTAATTGTAAGAATAATAGTTGAAAAGATAAGATGACGTAAGCAAAGTCAAAGCGAACGACGTAGCAAGTACTGTGTGAATGACCAGCCTTAATATACTAGTAGCAAAGAAGAAACTTGACATGAAGAAAAACAAGTAAAGTGTAGAAATAGTAAGATCGTCTACTACATTATCTCTCCCACTAGGAGTGGCATTGCCAGAATCATTTTTTGTGTGTAAATAATCGGTCTACATATATATCAACAGAAAGCAAGAGATATGTAATATATGAGGACAAACCAAGCGAACTGTTTTTTAGTGATTTTTTCACCTGAACTTGATAATTTAATCATGAAGTCTTCGTTACGTTTCTAAACATTGTAATCGATTTTGCCCCTTTAAAAAAGTAAATTACTATAAATTCTCCATAATTGATTAACAGCTTATTCTGTGAACATAAGGTTTTATTGACTGTTGTTCGTAATCACAGTTTCACTGTTGACATATCTGTGTGTATTACCTTTTCCTCTGACTTAATTTATGGTTTGATGTCTTACTTAAACGGAAATTTTCATTAAATAGAATGTATTTTGATAAGAAAAGATGAAATGGAAGAAAAAGATGTACAAATTAGAGCTAATCATAAGACAATTGTTAGCTACAATTAATTTGTTTCTACTGGGATTTTAATTAAACGATACGACTGTACATCAAGGTTAAGCAACTAAGTTGGTTTGATACGAGAGAGTTTGAACTGTTGAGAACCTAAGTACTAATATGATAGTGTATCGACTGAAGTAGTCGGTTATAAACAATTATTAAGTTCAACTGCTTTGTCTTTTTTATTGAAGTTAAGTTCACTGAGTAGTATATTATCATTAAGTTAACAAATTTGTGAAAAAACATGCATCATTTCGCACAACCTGTAATTTTTCTCAGGCATTAAGAATTTGTGAACGGTTGACAATTATTTAAACAGAATAGAAGAACCAGATTGTCAACTAACTGTTTTTAAAAAATTACGTCTTATAGGCATAAACTTGAACGTGAACTCAACAGACTTCTACACCCTTATCGATCAGTTAATCAAAACACTTCGATGAGATCTACCGATTCAATCATGAATTATGATACGGCAGCAAGTTGGATTGCTTCTGTAGAACGTCCAGAACCAGCATATTATGAAAATCAATTTGAGATAGGTGATGAATTAGGTGGTGAGTCATCTTACAGACCTAGCACTCAACAACAAAGACATGGAATCAACAGGAATATTGCACCTATTTCGGAAAGTTTAAATGGAGCTCCACCTATTCCTATACGAGCGCAAAGAAATACAGACAGACGATACCCTACGTCTACTTCACAGTTAACTGTTAATTCTCAGAACCAACTTCCTTTGAATGCCAATCTCAACCGTAATCTTCAATATCGAAATGCAGGTATGTGTGATGACAACTATTCTTTTCTACAGAATGAAACATCACAACTAGAAAGAAGATTGAAGAAAAATTGATATTAGTAAGTTTTTCAGATAGATGATGTACTTTATATGGTGTTCACTTTGTTTATTCTGCTAGGTATGTGATCGTTTACATCTAATAAAAAATTGTTGAATTTGTTGAAAGTTTACTATGTATTGTTACAAACATTGTGTCGCCGGAATCCGTGATTTACACAACCCAAGGGAGAAGACAAGCAAATGATGAGCAATTATTATACCCTAAAAGCGAATTAAAACAATAAATGGACACACTTATTTCTATTTCTTTGTTTAATTCAATCAATAGTCTGGTTGAATTATTGAAATGGAAACTTCAAGTTAATTATTCAGTGGTTTACCATCTGAACATAAATTTATTATACCATAAGATTTAAGACTATAACTAACATGTATAACTAACTTGATTAGCTATATTATTGCTTCTTAAAATGTAATTACATGTCATAGACAATTGGCGAAAATCAATTTAGCAGATCATCTGTACAAAAATCAATTTAAACCTAGCTGATCATATTGTAATGCTATGATGTTTTCCAAAATTGAAAAGTGGAAGTCAGGACGTAAATAAATCTACCTTCAAAGATTACTAAAACACACAATAAGCCAAATAAACTATAGTGAAACTGTTGTTTATAGAGATTTCAAGACGAAAATGCAAAGAATATCATAACTTGACGAAGTTTAGTTAAATCAAAAAGATGTGTTGCAAAAGATAATCAGCAGATGAGAAATACGAATCTAATTTACCCCGCATATATATACCGTGATTCAACGTCTTAATCGCTACTTCGACCAATCCACGATATTGCGCGACCATTTTCCATTGTCTTCGGTGCATAACTGCCTCACATCCAGCCATTCAGTGCTTCCAAGTTTTTAATAGTGATATAAGACTGGTTGGTTCATAATCATATAATTGATACAGTCAGTGTCAATAGCGTTTAGTCAATAATCAGTTTGTGACATAAAAACATAGCATTTTTATTGATGTCCTTATTAGTTAGACCACAATTTTGCAGTTTGTAAGTCTATAAGCTCACCACCTAATAACCCGTAAGGTTGTAATATTATTTCTAATCAAAAATACTTTAGTTGTATTTTTATATACTGAGATATCCGACAAGGTGTTATCTCTGATTATTCAAGGACCGTAAACGACATCCTTAAATCAGTTTCAGTAATACGTTTTAACTACTGAAACATTTTTAAGTAGTATATCTTTCACTTTCCCTATTAAACTAATGATTGTTCTGTGGTAGATAATCTAACTAAAATAACATTTTGCTGCTGTATAAGTCAAACGGGACAGATTTACTTTCAATATTGATTGATGAACTTAACAGGTTTCTACGTTTCTTGGTTAGTAGATAAATATAGTAATAATAATAATAATAATAATTGTAGACTCACACTGTTGGTTTGATAAAAGTAATGAGCTTTGATAAATCGGTAAATGACTGCCATCTGCTTATATCCAGTCAGGATAAGGAAAGTGACATAAATTTCTCAAACAAAATGAACTCAATAATGAAAAGTTCATCAAGTATCTGAAAACATTAATTATAACATAAAACGTAAGCCGTTATCTTCAAAAATCGTTAGGAGTATAGCAAATTTTTATTGACTCCATTTGATTCAATTCTTTGAACTAGACTTTGGTTACTCTTTAAAATTGAAAATGGTGACTATCTTATCATTTAGGTTTATCGTTCAAGTTTCGCTATTATATTACAATCATGTAAAAGAAGAATTTCTTGTTTTAACCTATATGCAATAATTACCTTAGCTTATATACGTATACCTATTTAAATGACTAAACATTAAACCTGTAAAATAAAGTTTCTTCTTGAGAAATCTACCCCTTTTCATTATTTGAAATTCATGCATATTAGATATGTAAAACTGTTCAATTTGTTCACACTTGTATCATGATATTTGTTATAATAATAAAATGAATTTTGTTGGATTATTACATCACTACTTTCTTTTTGTTTCAATCATTTCTCATTAGGTAAGAAATTATAATCATTGAACCAACCTGTAAACTATTGCAATTGGAAATTATATTCTTTAATTCAATTAAAATTTATAAATTCATTGAATATTCATTGATGTTTTTTTTATATGACTACAATTTTACAATTGTCATACAACAAAATCATACATTCACAATGAATTATCATTCCTATAATATATTATGTAAAAACAAAAAACCGATGAGATGTGAAACATGAATGATTTTAATTGAATAAATATTGTTTATTATTATTATGATTATGATTATTATTATTATTATATCATTATTATAAATATATGGTAAATGAGAGCATAGTAACTGTATAAACTAATTAAGATGATAATCAATATAATAAATTCATTATGAAACAATAAATGAAATTCTGCATATTAACAAAAAAAGAACTAGAATATACATAATGCCAGATTGTTTCACAAATAAGCTGCATTCAAATATTTGTAAACAATAAATTATATCTTATGATCATGTAAAAAGAAAAAAAAAGAAAAACAAACTACTCAATTTATTACGTAATTGTGCATTTCACAAAATCTATTTCTATTTTTGAAACATTTTTGATGAATACATGTAAAAATTTACATAAAATTAACTATTTTTTATTTTGATCAGAAACTTTACTTTTTTTAATTTATTTATTTGTTTGTTCCTTTTTTTGTTTTGCTTTTGAACTAAATTCATTTATTATTGATTAATTAATTGATTGATTGATTAGTTGATTGATGATTACAATTATAGACTTGATTAATAGAAAATATACAATGAAATGAAAATATTTTATTTTTTTCAAATTTGTCAAATTAACCTGTTATTATTATTATTATTGTTATAGTTATTGACAATATTCAATTAATTCATAGACATTATAGTCATTTAATGAATTACTTTATCTATCACTCATATTATTTGTCTTTATTCAATAAAAGATAATATTTATTATAAGATTCATACAGATCATTCCTATTGAATTTGACTCTTCTTTATATATATATATATATATATATATATATATATATATATATATATATACAATAATCATGAATTCAATGCATTTCAGTGTCATTATGTAATGAGAAAACAAATTGGACCAAGTAATTAACTTTAAACAATTTATATGTTTGTACAAATATGACAACAAAATGGCGTTTGAATTGATTTAGTATTCAGTGTGTTCAATGCATTTTAAAGTATTGCCCATAGATGATATGAAAATATATTTTATTTTCAATGTTACATTGAATTGTACAACGTCAACACATATATAATTATTTTAATATATTTTAAAAAAAGAAACGAAATAAAAAGGTATTTTCAATAAATAATTGGTGTTTTCAAAATTGTTAATGAAGATCAATGTTTATTTGTGTGTAGAAACTATATGATGCGTAAAAAAACAAACATATATTCTCATATTTTAAGTTTTTGTTAGTGTACGCAGTTGAAATATGATGTGATTACATCTCAGTCCTACAGGAGGTCGGTCGAAGCCCGGATAGCTCAGTGGTAACGTCCCTGACTGTGAAGCTGGGTGACACGAGATCAAATCCACCAGGGAGCACCAGTTCCCTCAAGATTACAGGTACACCTTGCTGATGAGTGCCAAGTAGCACGAAACTCGGGTCCAGGGTTTCCTGTTGACTACCTCCAACCACCATCTAAATCTCAGTATATAGTGCACGCATTGTCGAATCACCTACACTGGTGGCCACATTGCAACATGATCTATAGCATCCGATCTGCACTAAATAAAGACTTGACACACATGATATTGATCACCACCCAGTGATCAATCAGTTGTGAAATTAATATTTCATTGTGTTTCATTCAAATGTAACTGAATAAAAAGCAAATTGGGATTTAATAAACTGATATAATCTGGAAAAAAATAAGTGAATAAATAATTTAAGATTAACTATTCAAATATGAGTATCATATTACATTATTCAATATTGATGAAAATGATCACATTCACTTCTTAACTTATAAATTTTAACATGAAAATTCAAATTAATTTTTACTAGTTCAGCAAAGTTACATTTTTCAACTTTCAACAATGTAACTTTCTTAGTTGATTTTTATGTATCATAACTCAGCTTTAGAATTATAATTTGCAAACAGAAAATTCGATAGATAATGATAAAGCAAAATGATTTGATTATAGTTACTATACATGATGAAAGATATACATATAATACACTTTATAAATACTGTACAATTTCATAAATTCGGTAGGTTTAAACAGAAGACGAATAAAAGTACTTATAGAATAAAATGAACTTGTTTCTCCTTCATCATGTCATCTGTAAACTTGTTAAAGCCGCAATAAGTAGTATTATTTGAAATAAAGGTTTTATATGTTTAATTTAATGAAGTTGAAATAGATATTCGAAATGTGACAGACAAAACTTAATAACAAGAGAAAGACACTAATAAGCAGATTAAGATTTATAAGCGTATGAATGTTTAATATCATACACATACTTATTTATTTCCCATCAGACATGATCATTTGATTTTGTCCTGGTTATGGTCATCGATCTTTACCATAGACATTGGTAGAAATGAATTTCACTTTCTTACTTTGAATAACTACGTTTTCAAAAAGTAAGTGAACATCAAGCTGAACTAGTATTCTTTAAAATAATCCTTCAAATTTTTGTTACTGTTATGGTTTTCTGTTTCATTTCAAATATCATCCATGTTAACTTCATTGACCAAAACATATCAAACCTTCGTTTCCAATCATATTATTATCTGTAATTTTGGGCCATTGGTTGAAGTTGAGATATCTTGGAACTATAATGTGCCTAATAATTTGTGTCTAATTTACTCACAGTTAAATTAATAAGCTTTAAGCAAAGAATAATATTGTTTACTTGTACAAATCTGTATTGAAGAAATTGTACATGAGTTTAGTACGGTCGCTGTTGCAGTAAATATTCTTGACATGACAAAAAATAATATGTGAAAATTTATACAAATATCAGAAACTATGACAAAGATAATAGACTTTTCAAATAATTTAATTATTTACTTAGCTTGTTATCATTCAACCTGACTTTTGTTTGAAACTGAAACCTGAATCTTTCATTATAGTTGATTGGTTAAAATATTATTACAAAAGAAAACATGGACTTTTACGTTTCTTGGTTGACTGTGATCTAATGATTCAACTTCTGTAGAGTTTTATACAAACATCTTCGTATTATTTACGTGATATACCAATATATGTGTACATACACTAGAAAAATTCAACTAGATTGAAGACTGAAATGAGTGAGTTATACATATCTCCTTACTACTATGGATTGATATTAACTGACTCTAGCAATAAAATGTGATAGTCAAAGGAAAAAATAACTTTGTTTTTGATTGAAAAATTAATTTCACAACTACATCCTTTTCTTAAACTATTAGCATATCGATTTGATCAGAAGATAAATCAATAAAAATATGATTGATTTTACAAAATTTTACAATTTTACGTTTCATGAGTGAGCCAAAGATAAGTGAAACTTTTGCAACACAAACTGATAACTAGAACAAAAACTGCCACCAGTCAAATAGACAGTTGAATACGTAGATGAATTTGTTGTTACCCTCGACATAACAAATTGTAATTGTTTTAAATATATATTACAGAAACGCATATTTACAAATATTTTATGCAAATATGAGTATTGAACTGTTGGACTACATTTTCTGATAATGTTTCCCCCCCTTCTTTCATAAATTACTACACTAGAATTAAATTATTTAACAAAATGGTTTTTAAATTCCCAGTAGGAATTTACTGTCTGAAGAATAGTTGTGAACCGGAAAAAAAGGATGGTAATGTTATTTCTGACTTAACAAATGTTTTGAATAGTGTTTGATCGACTGATAGTTGAATATTATTCTGTAAATTCTTATTGGTTCCAAATAGCTTCTATCAATTTTAAGTATAAAGTGAGATATCAATCTTCATGATTTATAAAGTTCAAATTCAATAATCAGTTTACGAACTAATTATATAAAAAGTTTTCGAAAACAAAGAACGTTCTGAAATTTGACTTCATAATAGTTGAATCATTGGAAACCTTAGCTTGTATAAATTAGTAAGGTTACTGGAAATGAGGTCAGGCACCTAGTTTCCTCTGTAAAATTCAACCGAATGATTGTTTTTCTTAGAAACTGTCTAAGATTTTTCAGATTGTTTGCTAAACTGTTCAGTTAATAAAACACAATTATTATCATCAAAAAGTTTTATATAAATAAAACATTCTCCAAACAAATATAACTGTGGGTTTTTGCGGAGATCGTAGTAATTTAAAGGTTGAATATATATGAGTTGATTGAAGCTAGACCACCATGGAAAACCTGGAGGCACTGGATGCTCGTTTCGTTTGATACCGGCTCAGTGGTCTAGAGGTTAAGCGTTCGCTCTCAAGACCGAAGGTCCCGGGTTCGAGTCCCGCGTGCAGGACCATGAATATTTTGACGATACTTCCGCAACTCTGGATCTGAACAGAAATGTAAAGTAGAAATTTATTATTATCAAGTTATTTATCACTATCATTTGTGCAGGCAGCCATCTTTTATTATTTGCTAATTGGTTCGTAGTGACTGTTTGAAACCTTTGTGAGGTTCCCATATTTCAATACTTTCTACTAATTTACTGAGTCAGTTTGCACATGTAGAGAGCGTAATTTCAGACAAATTAGCCAACAATTTAGTTAGGATTAACCTTCATGATTAGGCAAAAATCAAACAAACTCAAAACACATCAACTTTTAATCACATTTTGTTAACAATGGTTATCTGGTGAATAAGACTATAACAGTCAGTTTCGTTTTATCCATTTAAATGCATTAAATTACACTGCTTGTTCACAGACTTCATCATTTAATCGTACGTTAGTTTTAAAGATTATTAATCTTAATGAATTCCTGTAGGGTAATAAATGCTGAAATATTTTCTTTATCTTACTGCTATATCTTCTTATATTTACTATTAAATCTATAATAATACAATCAGTTATAATTGCCTAATTATTATGATTAGTTTTACAATCTACACGGTCTTCTGTTGTTGCCCGACAGATAAAATTGATTATTTTGGTGTTTTATGTATGTGTTGCTCAACGATGGTATCTAAATTAATTCAGTGCTGCCTCCTAACCGTAAAGTCTGGTTGATGATTTTATGAATGAAAAATACAATGACTATTAAAAACCAATAGAAATGAATAATAATCTTTCAATATTCCACTACAGCATTACATTCAAAAACGTTTTCAATAACTTGGAGAAGCATTTTCTATAATAAATCAATTTCCAATTTTATTGTTAAATGAACGACTTTCTAGTTTGGTGTTTTTTCTCATCTAAAGTAGTGCCGCATAGTATAATAAAAGGAATTAGGAAACTTGTTAAGTATAACATTTGGAAATTTAGTAGATAACCATGAGAATACATAATAATTTAGAATAAATTTCGTCTAAACAGCCAATCACTTATTCGGGAAGAAAATGTATATCACCAATGAATAAATTACCAAATGAACTGGATTTGTTGACTTTCTGTCTTAAAATAAGGTCAAATATACACACTACAGAAGAAGTTGTACCAAGTTCTAGGTATCAGGACAATATTCAATATTTTTTCAGCTAATTGAGCCTCTTGAGTTTAAAATAGACTGTGGAAAAAAGGAACGGTGATGAATAACATCTATGGGAAAGTCATCATTGGGTTAACCTGGAATTTTTCTCGACATCTTTTTTTTATATATATTTATTATAAGAGAGAGTTTAATTTAATTCTTTTACCTATCAAGCTGGATTTTGTATCCAATTGTATTTCTCAAGTAAAAGGTCGGACAATTTGCTAGAGGCAAGTTAACATAATGCTAAATTGAATGATGTACCATAATATATACATTAAGACAATTAAAATATCAATCCATTGTCGATCCGAGTAATGACCTTCAGTTTCAATAATATTACATTGACCTCATGCATAAATAAAGATATTTTCGTTATTTTCATCTGTGAAATAGAATAGTGGTATAAAATATGTAATGTGTTTAAACTGGTCATCTGGATAGTGGATAGTAGTGGAATCCAGAAAGCAGGTCTCAGAACTCATCACATGAATGTACTTATATACCAGTTTAGATGTTTCCATGAAGAATCGACATACGATACCCATCTCATTGAAGCTCTTTAAACTCGACTGCTGATTTTTAATAACTACCAATTTGTACAACATTTACGACATTTACTATTAATTAAGGATTTCCATTTTCTCATTGTTTCTTCAGTGATCCATTCAGCCTCAAAAGTCATGATATTTAGTGTGGAATCTGAAGTCTTGTCAATTAGTGTTAAAGTGAAAAACGTTAACAATAGACCAACTAAGTGCCGACTATCCTTCGGTAGGGCTGAAATGTTTGTATTACTTGATCATTTTATAGAGATGCAAGAAAATATAATGAAATCAGACAACATTAGGAATAAGAAAAATTAACAAATAGAGCTGTAACTGGAGATCAATAACTATGGTATTTAAGTAAACTACCGAATAAACATAAAACTATCATTATTTTTCAGTAAATTACTTGCTTTTTAACACCCCTCCAGTTCAGAACAAACCTCTTCAATTGTTTCCAACCGTTATTCATTCTATTGATGTCTACTCACAATTCCCGATGCAGTGTGTCCAGTCTTAATCTCTTCCATTTCCATTCAGGAT